ACCCTTGTACTCTGCCTGACCCAGATCAGTAACTGGCTGTCCAGCAACTTTCTTGTTCTAAATGCCAACAAGACAGAGACCCTGATCTCTGCACCCCCGGAACTTCAACCAAAAATCGAGCAGGAAATTGCCTCCTTTTGCCCATCAGCCAAGGCCAACATTAGAAACCTGGGAGTTATTTTTGATCCGGTTTTAAGTTTAGACTCACACGTCAAAACCATCTCCCGCTCTTGTTTCTTCCAACTGAGAAACATTTCAAAAGTCCGTAAACTGGTTTCTACTGCAGATCTGGAAAAAATCATCCATGCCTTTGTGTCATCACGCTTAGACTACTGCAACGCTCTTTTTACTGGTCTCAGCAAAACCTCCCTGTCACGCCTTCAGGTCATCCAAAATGCAGCAGCCAGACTCCTAACCAAATCCAGCAGATGAGCTCACATCACTCCAGGTTTACAGTCCCTCCACTGGCTCCCGGTAGAATATAGAATACAGTTTAAAGTTTTAGTGCTGACCTATAGAGCTCTTAACAACCAGGCTCCAAGCTACCTATCTGAGCTTTTATCCCCACACACCACTTCACGGAACCTCCGATCCACATCTGAAAACCTCCTGGCTGTTCCTCGAACCAGACTAAAAACCAAAGGGGACAGGGCCTTTCAGTCTATTGCCCCTAGACTTTGGAACAGTCTGCCTTCAAATCTCTGTCTCTTGAAATCTGTAGAGGTCTTCAAAAAACATCTTAAAACTCACCTTTTCATCCATGCTTTTCCCCGCTAAATATTCTAAAAGATGGCTTTGTTCTTGTTCACACCTTGACTTTGTTTTTACTCCTGATTTTGGTTACTATTGTCACTGCTATTGTTTTTATGATGTTTTTATTGGTTAGAGGTATTTGCCCTGATTTTACTCATGTTGTACAGCGCTTTGTGATTTATATCTGTGAAAGGCGCTCTACAAATAAACTTTACTTACTTACTTACTTACTTACTTACTTCATTGTCTCTGCCCTGTTCGAGCTTTAGGGGCTTATATGGACAGGACTGCTGGTCTCAGAAAATCAGACCAGTTGTTTGTTTCTTGGGCCATGGCCCATAAAGGCAAACCTGTGTCTTGCGAGAGACTGGCACACTGGATTGTAGAAGCGATCAGCCTTTCATATAGGTGTAAGGGTGCTGAACCCCCTCTGGGGGGTGAGGGCTCATTCTACAAGGAGCATGGCTACATCTTGGGCCCTGTTTCGTGGGGTGTCAGTCCAGGATATTTGTGCAGTAGCTAGCTGGGCCACGCCGCTGACTTTTGTGCGGTTTTACAGGCTGGATGTGTCTCAACCTTCACTGGCGTATTCAGTGCTGGAGGCAGGATGCACAACATCTGCTTAGTGGTTAAGCAGAGTTTTTGCTGCAGCTCGCTTCGGGATGGATATGCAATCCAGGAGTGGGCCATATCTCCCATAGTGAAACACCGAACGAATTTAGAAAAAGAACATAGGGTTACGTTATGTAAACCCCGGTTCTTTGATAACAGTGAGGTGTTTCACCAACAATTCCCTTCTTGCATTAACGGTAAGAAATCATCCGAATGAGTAAGAGGGGTTGGTTGGCCATGTATATACTGGGTGAGCGGAGCCTGGGCACTGCGCAACCAGTCTGTCAGGGACAGACGTGATGTCATTGGATCTTCCGTAGTTGGTCACGCCAGGGCGATTCCCATAGTGAAACACCTCACTCTGTTATCAAAGAACCGGGGTTTATATAATGTAACCCTACGTTTCCTTCTTTTTTACTACAGTACAGCACTTTGGACAGCTGTCATGCTGTTTTTAAATGTGCTTTACAAATAAACATGGTATGGTATGGTATGCCTGCTGGTGGTCGTTGGAGGTACCGGTAGCGCATATGTATGGCAGACTCGCTTCTGTCAGTGTGCCCCTGGGCAGCTGTGGCTACAATGTAGCTCATCACCACCAGGGTGTGAATGTGTGTGAGAATGATTGATTGTGTTGTAAAGCATCTTGTGGGGTTCCAGGACTCTAGAAGACACAATATCATATACAGGCCATTTACCATTCAATTTCGGTCCCATCCCCCTCCATTCTCAAGGATTGTGGAAATGAGACTGACTTCATCGGACCACTTCTTCACCCTCCAGTCAGAATTGAAGGAGCTCCTGTCAAAGGAAGCCATCTCGAGGGGTCCAAAAGATGAGGTGAATTTGGGGTTCTATTCCCGCAATTTCCTTGTTACAAAAAAAGGCCAGAAGTGTCAGACTCATCCACGATCTGTTCCTGTTCAACTTTACCGCTTCATAGCGGAAAAGCGCTTCCGCATGATCACCATGAGACAGTTTTAGAGTTACGTTCGTCCAGGCAACTGGTTAACTTCTATCGACCTGAGGGACACATATTTCCATATTCCAGTGGTCCCGAAACACAGGAAATTCCTGTGTTTGTCCTTCAACAGAGTCCAATATCAGTACAACAGACTCCTGTTCAGTTACTCCCTCTCTCCCTGCACCTTCTAGAGTTGTCTAGAGACATCGCTTCAGCCATTACGCACGGTGGGCTTGATGGTTCTTTTTATCTGGATTATCTGCTCCTTCTGGCTCCCTCAGAGTCCGACGTGGAATCACAGATGAGAACACTAACAGAACATCTAATCACGTTAGGATGTTCGGTTTCTCCATAAATTGGGAGAAAAGTTCTGTGATCCCATCACAGCTGATCACCATTTTGGGCATAAAGCTGAACTCCAGCATCACGAGAGCCTACCTCTCCCAGTCTCAACACACGTAATCAGCCACATGCAACCTCGCCACACTGTGACAGCTCTTACAGTGATGAAGCTGCTTGGCTTGATGGCTGCAGGCCATATAGCAGTTCCTCTTGGTTTGTAACATATGACACGCATCCAATGCTGGTTCAGATATCTCAAGATAAACCTGCTGCATCACAAACAACATATGCTGCCCATTCCTCTCAGTAAAACGAGATCTGGAGCACTGGGGGAACCCCGACATCTTGATGCTTGGAGTCTCTCTTGGTCGTGCAATGTCACATGTTTCTGTTTTCACGGATGCATTCCCGTTAGGATGGGGGCATACATGCTTGTCCCATTCAGTGGGCGGCCAGGGCATCACAGCCTTATCCGGGCTCTTACAGGTTTTAAGAAGTAAAAAACCCATACATGAATACAAATTGTAAGAATTTAAAAGCATGGCAAAAGCTCATAGGCTAGGTGCTAACTGCTACCCATAACACAGACATTTCACAAGCAAGAAAATACCTGCGATATTATGATACAGCACATCTTGAATGCATGAGCTCTGGGATGAAAAGTAGCTGAGGTCGCTTCTACATGCCAACATTTTTCCTTCCCAGTCTTTCTAATAGCGTTTGTGGGTCTGGGATTGTCACTCCATGAAATGTCAAAAGCTGGTATAATCAGCCTTAACTACGCCACTTATTTCGTCAAAACAATTAGTAGTTTCTGCACTGTAGCTGCATACGCTAGTGCACTTAGTTCTTTCACAGGCAGCCCTCTAAGGCGAATATGTTTTCAGTTCAACAACTTTCCACTGTTCAAATCATAAATTTTGCCGCTTTCCCTATCTATATGTATGTTCGCTTCTGTCAGTTTAGGGTCCAAAACACCAGAATGCATTGCGCACAACGCAGTACCGAAATGGCTTATTGGGGGGTCACAATCATCAAGCCACACACCTGGCAGGTAATGTTGGCAGTACAGCGCATTCAAATGTGTTATGCAACTGATCATTTGGGGCAGTGATACGCCTATGCTGCCGCCAGAAAACTTGTCCCCAGTTTCACACTGGAAGCATCAGTGGCACAAAACGACAGCGAAACGGTTTACTCGCAAACTTCAAAGCGGTCCTTTTCACACCGGGAGAGTCTAGGCAGCAGCACGTCTTCTTCGCTGTGCTCTTCACTGGACGCGTGGTGGCAAACAACTAATAGCACATGGCTTCCTGCATCATAACTGTCGGTGTATCTATGATAAATAAGTAGTTGTACCTGTATTGGTTGGAAAAATCTTTCCAAACTATTCTCCTTTATGCTTCCTGTGAAGGCAGAGCCATCTTCTTGTTCGGTGCAGTATTGCTGTAGCTTTGACAGATCATTTGCTGCTGTGGCCCCCAGACTCTGGAACTCTCTCCCCCTGAGCCTGAGATCAGTGGACTCAGTGGTCTCCTTCAAAAAGCAGCTGAAGACTCACTTGTTCAAGCTGGCTTTTGTATGACCTTCTTCACCACTCTCTCTTTATTCGGCTCTCCCCACCTATTCCACCTTCCTCAGGATCCACTGATTTCCCTCTTTCCTAGTCACACTCTCTCTTTCTTAACATTTTTTCTTTTAAGTCGCAATTGCCTATTCTTGCTCATTTTAAATATATTTTAAAACATTTTCTAAGTGCTTTTTTATATTTTTACAATTTTTTATATTTTTTGTTTTTGTTTTTGTGAAGCGCCTCATGATTTTTATCTTGAGAGGCGCTATAGAAATGATATTTTCTTCTTGTTCTTCAACAGAGTGGGAAAAAATCTCACCACAGCGTAGACTTTAGTCGCTGGAGCCTGCTAGTGTGGGGTTGTATATATAAAGCTAATGACGTTAACATGATAGGCAGTATTATTAGGAAAGGATGTGCGAACATCACCGCTGCTGCTGCGTTGAAATTCACTAGTCTGGAGCTGGTGAAAACACGTCATTTACTTAAAGTTATCGAGGATTTTGTGCCCAAATGCTTTTTCCTTCCCTTGATGAAATATCCACTATTGCAAGTCAACCTGTGGTTATCCTTTCTTGTAAAGGCGGCATTAAGAACATTGAGTGGCCAGTAAAATTTTGAATCTGGTGGATGAAAAAGTTAATTTCCTGCCCTAAGAGTAATGATGACCGGATAAGAGAATAATTCTATAGTTGTATACTTTTGCAGATTGCCCACAAGTTCAGCTTTCCAATATTTGTTCAACTATCTTTTTAGACCATTCACATGGAGGGACCTTTAGCAGAGGACATTGAAGGTATGTGTATGCAATGTTCTTAAATTGATGCTAAATTATCTGTTTTACCTGTTTTGTGTATTTTATTCTTACAAGTAATTATTTATGTCCAGATGTCTGTGTGCTAGGTGACAAGGGGTCAGACGATGAGGTCAGCATGTCATCCAGGCAAGAATGTACCTCCATATCAGAAAGTCAAAACCAAAGAGTGTCTGCAACAGGTGAGCTTCAATGCAGTTCTTAGCTTTGGTGCATTTTCACACAGTGCATGACAAAAATTAGCATCAACAACCCCATCTCCCTCCTTTGTCCCAACCACCTCCTCCTCCTGCAACTCTGTCAGGAGACCTGTCTGATGCAGAGGCTGCACAATCAACACAGTCAAACACAACCCCAGTTTTAAAACTGAACATTGGGTTAGTACTGCCTTACATTACAAGCAGCTTTAACTTTTAGGTTAGCGTGCATCCACCTGCTGCTTATAGGTTGCTTCAATCTCTCTGCGTGGACTTCACGCAGGGATAGCATAGCTACAAAACACCTCTCTCATTATAGAACATCTGGTAGGTCCACGATAAAGTGACGCAGGACAATTCCCTGAGCACATTTATCTGCTGAATAATTGTGATTGCACAAGGGGGAGATTAAAAGATTAGTTTTATTTAGAACAATTTAAATCACGTTTACCTCATACATGGGTGAGAGAGACGGACAAAAATAGATTCAAAGAAGGATTTTATTACAAGAAAGGACTCACATATATTTATATGCACGTACAGTACATTAAGACACACGTGACAAACATTAATAATAGAAGGAAAAGAGGGTTTTACACTGTCAGAACAAGCAGCGGAGAGCCAACACGCCAGAAGCCTGTTCCAGGCCTCTCGACACCTCAGCTCTCGGTCAGTCCTCTGCACTCCAAATGGTTTTATTCCACCCACAGTCTTCCAAACAAAGACCCGTAAATCTCTGTCAGGAGGTTTGGCCAACCACCGCATGTCTAAGGCGGGGATTTCTCAAGTCACAGAGTTTTTGTTGAAAGCCAAAACCTGCTGGCTACTTAATTTATGACTGACAGCCAGGAATTCAGTTTCCAAAGCTACGAGTTACCACTCACTCTTGCAACCTCCAATGTAACCATCCTGTAAGACCAAGTGAAGAGGACAAAAAGGCCCTTTAACTGAAAACAACTGAGGATAAGAAAAAACCCTTTAATCCACAAGTTTGTTATTTTATTACTTAAAAAGAGGAGCATTTTAAAAATACCTATCATTATCCAAGTCTCCTTCATGGCAGCAAACGGACTCCACGGTTGTTGCTCCACGGCTGAGCAGTGACCGCATTTGCACTACAAAGGGTTGCCAACCCTCTCCTCACTGTCATCTTTGTCTGTAGCCGCTGCGCCCCTCCTCCTCATCACTGGCTTAAACGCATACTGTATGCCATCGGGTTAGATGACATGAACTAAACTCGCTCAGCTTCATCTTGACATTTTTCCTCTTCAACTATGTACTTGTTCTCCACTCGCTGTAACTGTGTACTCGTGCAGAATTGAGGAGAAAAAATGTCTTAATAGCCATGCAATCTCTCCATGAAGTCTGTGCCCTGAGATTGGAGCAACCTATAAACAGTAGGTAAGTGCACACTAACCTTAACTATAACGCTACTTGTAATGTCAGTAACAACGGTCGCTGTCTGGTGAAATCAGTTCATATTCCATGCTTTCGTTCTTTTTTAAACACAGAAACAGTTTTGTTTACCTGTTTTGTAGCAACAGTTTCACCGACGGCTGCCGTCGGTGAAACTGTTGCTACAAAACAGGTAAACAAAACTGTTTCTGTGTTTAAAAAAGAACGAAAGCATGGAATTAGAACCACGACACAGTAAGAACACACCTAAGAAATCAGTTCATTTTATGTTGTCCAACATCCAATCTTTGAGGCGTACAGCTACTTCAGCACTAGTGGGCTGCGTAGGACAGTCTTTCATCTGTACACTTTATGAGGAAATGTATTGCTTGAGGACCACAATCCTGCAAGTCTTGGATGTTTCCCTGCTGCAACACACCTGATTCATTGTGCAGAGCTTGGCAACAAGCTGTTTGATCTATTTAACTTGAATCAGGAGTGTTGAAGCAGGGAAACATCTCAGACCTGTAGGATGTGGGTCCCTAAAGAGTGAAGTTGGCCATCCCTGGGCTAACATGACAATTAATATTTTTACTTCACTAGTCACTTGAAAATGATTTAGAATAGGAGACAGAATGAAATTCCGTCTCTCCCTTTAAGAGACACAAATTCCATATACTTATTTTATAAAATAACAACCACTATACTGACGGCTATTACATATTTTGTGTATTGTATACTTTAATAAAGTTATTTCTTGATCCAGATGTCAGTATGCCAGAAGAGGGGTCAGAACATGAGGTCAGCATGTCATCCCTGCAAGAATGTACCTCCACGCCACAAGTCCAAAACCAGACTGTCTCTGCAAAAAAGAGAGGTAAGGGCTTGCACTCTCTTGCACTCTGGGGCATAAGGACCCGTTTTACTGTGCCATGGTTTATCGTCCTCCTGGTCCAAACAGTTCTTTTCTTAAGGAGTTTAGTGTCTTTCTATCCTCCACCTTGAAGCTGTCCAGACTGGTTATTGTTGGTGATGTTAACATCCACGTAGGGCTGGGCAATATGGCCTAAAATCAATATCACGATATATTGAGGATTTGAACCTCAATAACGATAAATGGACGATAACTACAGGTATGTGCAGAAACAAAAGTTGTTCACTAGATGGGGCTGTCACATGTATTACGTTGAATCACATTTTTATGTGACTCAAGGTGGTACAGCTTCTTAAAGGGACATGAACATTGCCAACTTACACACCTTTTTTTTTTAATCAAATTTATTGACATGGGAAAAATTATCTCGATAAGAGGCAGAAATTTCGATAGTGATACATTTTCGATTTATTGCCCAGCCCTACATCTACGATGATGCCTCAGACCACTTTCTCATTACCTTGTCCAGCCTCCTGACTCCTTCAGCTTTACCCAGCATGTTGCTGGCCCCACACACACCAAGGGACACACTCTAGACCTTGTTTTTACTTTGGGTCTACATGCTGGTAGTGTTTGTCCTGAGGATGTTCATATTTCAGATCCCCATTGCGTTATCTTTAACTTGTCAGTTTCCCCACCTCCTGCTCACCTTCTGGTTAGTTCTCGTTTTCTTAATGAGAGCACAGCTAGCAAATTTTCTGCTGCTATTGATCCACCCTGTTCTTCTGATAACGACCCAGATTCCTTAACTTCTCAGTTTAACAAGCGCTGCATTTCCATTCTGGACAACATCTGTCCTGTCAGAACCAGATAAGTTCCTGCAGTGAACCCTACTTCCTGGGGGCAGCAGTAGCTCAACAGGTTGAGCGGGTTGTCCAGTAATCGGAAGGTTGCAGGTTCGATCCCGGCTCCGGACAGAGAATGCTGCTGTTGTGTCCTTGGGCAAGACACTTAACCCACCTTGCCTGCTGGTGGAGGTCAGAGGGACCGGTGGCGCCTGTGCTCGGCAGCCTCGCCTCTGTCAGTGCGCCCCAGGGCAGCTGTGGCTACATCATAGCTCATCACCATCAGTGTGTGAATGTGTGTGTGAATGGATGAATGATACACTGTAGTGTAAAGCGCATTGGAGTCCTTACTCTGAGAGGTGCTATACAAGCGCGGGTCATTTATCATTATCATTTAATGACAGCCTTTGCAGCCTAAAGCACCAATGCAGAAAAATTGAGCGTGTTAAAGTGGAGAATGCTCCCTTTACGTGAAATAAGGAATGTTATTTTAACAACCTTTGGAAATGATTAATATTGATTGAATATTAATTCGGACAACGCTTATTTTTCTCAGAAGACCTAAAGAACTTTTTATTCTCAGGTATTTAGACTCGCTTGAATAAAGATCAACCTTCAACAATTTTAAAAGAATTTAATTTATAAATCACAATTTAAAATCTCACACAGTTAACAATTCCCTGATGTTTAATGAGCTAAAATGTGCATGAGAGCAGAGCTTAGCTGAGGGCTTAGTTCATCTGTCTGAAACAGAAATGATGTTTTGGGTTAGTCTACTGTGTCGCTTTGGAACAAGAAGTGATCATGAGTGCCCTAAATCACCTGGGGGGTGTCTTGGACGGACCCCGGTCGATGGAGGAACACGGTCGCTCCCAGCTGGTCTCCCAATCCGTGAGGCTTTGAGGTTAAAGTCCACTGGTCAAAATCAGTCTCTGATTGGCTGAAGTTTAAGCAAACCGTTCCACGGTTGATGGTGGAACTCAGTTGGTGTTTTCAGCTTTTTTGCAAGTGTCCAGAACCTGGCAGCGTGCCAAAGTTCTGATGTTGTCGAAGAGGAATTCACGGGCCCTGTGAAGTCTCAACGAACTGACTCTCAGCTCGCTTGTCAGTAGTTTTGTAGAACGACCCCTCTTCCCGGGGCATTCCCAGATCGTGACGTCTTTGCCCTTGAGAAGCTCTGCTCTTGCCTGCTGTGTGTTTAACAATATGTGGTGTATTATTCGTTATCACATCATCTCCATTAAACATCATTTACAAGTTTGATCACAAATTGATTCAGCAGTTGATCATATTAATTAATTCATCAACAGATCTCATTCTTTATTAAAATCATAAGATGAACAGTTCAGCTGTCCTCCTTCCCCACACTGCGTCCTTGACGACTGGTTATCAGAACCCAGCCTCTGCCGTCCTTGCAGAAGGAGAGTGTGTCTCAGCAGCCATCTCGGCTCCAGGTAAAAGCAGAGGCACATGTCGGGTCAGTTTGACCCGTCACAGAGGTTGATGGTCAGTAGCTTGTTGTTGTTACAAGCGCTTGTGGAAGAAAACCCGTCTCCATGTCCATCTGCTGCATCTAAAGAATCTTCTGACTTCCTTTAACTCTGCAGTCAGAGATGCAAAGGTTGACTATTTCTCCAACCTGGTGTCCCAGAGCAAAGAGAACCCCAAGGTGCTGTTTAACACCATCAGAAGCATCTTCTCCCCTGCCTCTCCTACAGCCTCCATTCACTCTGTTGTAGACTGTGAGAACTTTCTGTCTTTCTTTGTGGACAAAGTCAATAAGGTCAAATCTAGCATCTCTCCCTCAGCCTTATCTCTGCCTCTCCTGACTCCAACCAGGCCCATCATCCTACATAGCTTTGCTCCTGTTTCTTTGCCTGAGTTAACCAAACTAGTTAACTCTATGAAGACCTCTGCATGCCCCCTCTACATCTTACCCTCATCTTTGTTTAAAAGTGCTTCTCAGTCCATCGATCCCAGCGTGCTCTCCACAATTAATGCTTCTCTGGTTTATGGTCAGGTCCCTGCTTACTTTAAAAACGCTGTGGCCATCTCCAAGGTCCTCCACCACCTCCCTCACCCATGATGTCCCACAAGGTTCTGCACTGGGGCCTCTACTCATCTTCCTCTATCTGATTCCTCTTCAGCACATCCTGAGCTCTTTCAGAGGAATCTCCTACCATCTTTATGCAGATGACATCCCAGCTGTACATCTCCTTTAAGCCCCATGAGATGTCTAAGCTGCAGCTGTTACACACCTGCTTAGACTCTATCAAAACCTGGATGGCTGGGAGCTTTCTTCAGCTGAATGAAGATAAGACTGAGATCCTCATCTGTGCCCCAGACAAGCTGGTTCCCAAAGTCAGAGATCTTGGTCAGCTTGCTTCTCACACCAAACCCTCCGTCAGGAGTCTTAGTGTGACCTTTGACCCGGCTCTCACCCTGGATTCTCAAGTCCGTTCTCTTGTTCGCTCTTCCTTCTTTCATCTCAGGAACATTGCAAAGCTGAGTCCCATTTTGTCCTGCTCTGAACTTGAGACAGTTCTCCACACCTTCATCTTCTCACGCTTGGACTACTGCAACTCTTTTCACGTGTCTGAGCAGAACCTCCCTGAACCGTCTACAGGTGGTTCAGAATGCCTGTCAGCTCAGCTTCTAACCAGGACCTCCAAACACACCCACATCACCCCGCTTCTCCTCCAGTTTCAGTGGCTGCCAGTCAACTTCAGGGTTCATTTCAAGATCATGGTTCTGGTTTATAGGGCCTTACATGGACAAGCACCACCATACTTTGGTGCTCTTCTCAGACCCTACACCCCAGCAGGTCCCTGAGGTCCAGTGACCAAAGCCTACTGTTAGTCCAGCTCAAGGCAAAAGACCAAAGGTGACAGATCATCTGCTGCTGTAGCCCCCAGACTCTGGACCTCTCTTCAAGTACATGGAAATGGTACAAATGGAATTCTGTTACCTGATTTGTTTACATGCAGTAAGTTTTGTGCTGACCACCATCAGAGGGCCTTGGGGATTTATGAGACTAAATTTGTGGAATAATTTTGGACAATAACCAAAATTGTTGTAATTCTAAAACAGTGGGTCTTACAGTGTTAATCAAGATTAAAACTTCTTTATAATAGAAAACCTACATTGTTTTGTTTTTGTCCACACAGAAAAACAAACAGCTGTCAAGAGAAGCTGGACCCCAGAAGAGTGTGCTGCAGTGGACAAACATTTGAGGAGATTTATCGTGAGGAGTCAAGTTCCTGGTAAAGAAGAGTGTCAGCGCTGTATTACTGCTGCACCTGAAGCTCTCAGAAACAGAGACTGGAAAGCTGGTAAATATTATGTTAAAAATCGCATTACAGCCCTGAGAAGAAAAGTAGTATGAAAGCACCTAATTGAACGGAGGTAAAAGCAAAACATTGGATGTCAAAATGTTTTGTCCTTTGTTGTGTTTGTTGTTACTTTTTGTTGTTTTTGTAAGGGTTTGCTCAGGTTTTATGGCTGTTCCGTTGTGTACAAATAAAAACATTTCACAGGTTTTTTTGTATATTTTTTACACCTGTAATAACAAGGCATTTTGAATGCAGTCCAATGAAACGCATAATTTCAATGCCAATGTAACAAAAAATGTTGGGTTTGCATAGAACTTCAAACTGATATTGTTAAAACATTCAGTGGAGATTAGATTAATGATTTAATAATTAAAAAAATCACAAGCATATGGCATAAAATGTAATTAAATTGGTCATTTCAATTTTGTTATTAAACTGTCTTTGAAGCTGAATGTCTTGTAATCTGTCATCGCAGATAGAAATGTTCACACATATACATAATCACTTATTACAAAAAAATATTTTAGTCCAACATGAGGAAACTGGGAGTAATAATAAAGACTGGTATCAGCAGCTGCAGATAGTGACCGTGGGCCCCATTAACATATAAAAACTTGATATGTACGTGTGTATGTGAATGGACCTCACAAGTATGCAATGCTAGAAACGGTCCCCACAAGTGGCCAAATACCTTTTTGGTCAAAACTTTAGAAATGTGTTAAATTGAAGTGATATTAATGATTTAGATTTTTTTTTACATCTAACCTTGTTTTTAAAAGCGATGTAGGACCACTGGAAAGGGTGGATCCCATAAAGCATAGAAAAACCGGTGGGCCTCATAAGGGGCAAAAACCAGAATGTGTGTGTGTGTGTGTGTGTGTGTGTGTGTGTGTGTGTGTGTGTGTGTGTTTTCTCTGGGTACTCCAGTTTTTTTTTCCCACTAACATAAAACATGCATGCTAGGTTAATTCACTGCATTGTAAACCTAACCTTTAAGCATGAGCGTCTGCCACATAAACAAAAACTTTATGTAGTTGTCCGTTAAGAGCTGATAGATGTAGTTTGTTAGCTTTATTAGTAATAATTTGTTAAAATGAAAACAACTGAACTAGAACATGTCCAGTTTTTTTGACAGGACCAAACTACAAAACCCTGTTTTCATGTTTCATGGGGGATGCATAGATATGAAAATAATTCTAAATATTGCTGTTGTGGCCAAATAAATGACTTTTATTGATGTTTTATTAACAATATTTACGCACAGACACACATTTGTACTTCTGAGAGGTATACTATGACTATCACATTTAGGCCTAGGCGATAAATTGATTTAATGACAGAATTTCAATTTTTTGTTGCGGGCGATTAAAAAAAAAAAAGGTTAATCGAATTTTCATGTAATAAGGCCTTTTTGGCCCCCCGGATCTTCCGTAGTGTTAGTTTCACATAACCGCGACAACAACGTCACAGCACGCACATGAAACAGCAACAGCAAGCGACTTTATGGCCACCGGTGAGAGTGGGAAGTTTGTTTCTAAGAAAGGAATGAAATCATCCGTTGTTTGGAGCTGGTTTGGGATTGCTGTGACAGACGTGGAGTGTGGCACTTTTATTCCAAGAGGGTGTTCATTTATTCATTGTTCAACTCAGAAATGAGGGTTACATTTGTCTTGCGTGTGATAAAATAAAAAACAAAATTGGCTTTAAGGTGCCGTCCATTTGTACTTATTGCTCTTCTTAATAATTGAGGGGAAGAGAGAATTGGAAAAAAATTGTAAATCAAATTAAAAAATGGTTGTATCGCCCAGTCCTAATCACATATCAACAAAACCTACACGGAAATAAACTATGGTTAATAATATTGGCCCAGTTTTACTTATCGGACCGATACCAATATGTTAAAAACAGATATATCGCGTATCCCTGATTAAAGGCTTTTGTTTCGTCACCACTGGTTTCTGTTAGACCTCGTATTAAAACGAGCATTTTTCCATCTTTAAAATTGGAAATTTTAGGGTTCAAATCAAGTTTCCTGATGAGTTTGTTTTGCAAAAAACAAAATTCTGAAAGAAAGGAGTGACCAGAATTTTATTTACAAAGCAACAACCTAACCCAGAGCAAAAGCTAAATGAAACCACCGGTCGAATAACAACTTTCTCTTTTTATTGCTCCTCTACAGCTGGACTCTGTCTGGCCAAACAAATGTTAACATCTTGGAAACGAGAAGATGCTAACAATGAGAAGCCTTATCTGAGAGAGTAAGTGTCAAAGGTCAAACTGACCTCATTCTCACCTCTGACCTTTCAATTTGTTTAGAAACCAAACCCAAAAATTCACAAAGAAAGCATAACACTTTACAAATAGGGTCCCTTTATTAGTGTTACTTAGTGCATTATTGGGCATTAATAAACTATTAAGTAAAGTATTAACAACTGCTTAGTCATATGTAGTGCATTACTAAGCAGACCCCCTCTGCCCTTTGTCCTAACCTTAAGGACAATAACGGGGGCGTTAATAAAGGGACTCTTTGTTTACTCTCTGATCAAAAGTCCATTAAACTCTTCTCTCCTCAGGCGATCGTGGTTGATCATCACTACAACCCTGACTGTTGTTCTGATGGCCAGTCTGACCGCTCACGCGGTTCAGGCGTGTCGCGGCTCGGTGGCATCCCACTCCGCTGGGCGTCGAGATTATTCCTACGTCCCGCTAAGCAAGATGAACGGAGCTTTTTTGTGTGCCAAAGATGCTGAAGATAACAGGAAAGGGAATGCTGAGTTGGAAGATTCTGACTCTCAGGATGAAATTTGGTCTCCGACTGGATCAGGGAGGGCGTAGCGGTCAGGGCCAGCAAGGGTAAGGAGTTCTTATACTGCTACTCCACAAACGGGCACACTAAAACGAAGGCTGTGTTGTTTAGTCTTCTGGTGTATCTCTATCCTGGATTGCTGAAATGAAATAGGATAAAGCACATCCTGAGAGAAAACTGCCCTACAGGGATTTTCAGAACTATTTTGGCTGCTTTTCAGGAGTTCATTTACGATTTTTGCACCTTTGAACCTCGGGACGACCAATAAGTAATTACACCTTTATTTTTCTCCTGGGTCCTTTCCAGCTCCACGGATGATGATGTTTCCCAGTGTTTGGCTTTGAATGCTGATCTGTAACACAAACTCATGTTAATAAGTTGCCCAGGAGTCAGATTAGTCAGCATCCAGGGTTAAATTGCCATAGGAACACACTTGATTACCATTGGGTTTTCTGCCACCAATCAGTGCGTGAGGTAATCAGAAACGGAAATCAATGTATGGTTTTGTTGTCAGGGCTTTCAAAGCCTTACATTTTAGTAGGAACTATCTGGATTCACAACAATTTGTCAAACTGTCCAACTATAAAACTATTATTAGTGAGATTTTGTCAGGTTTTCATCAGAACTGATTAACATTTTATAGTTTACCAAATTTAAAGTTTTAGTTACAGAACAAAACATCAGTGTTTGAAACTCGTTGAAGCCAGCTTTAAAAAAAAAGCTCAGCATGAGTTTGATGGGGGTTTTTTTTAGTTCATGAGTTTGGCTGCTTATTTAATTCAAAATGGCAGTATTCTATTTCTTCTATTAGTTTTTACAATTTCAACAATCATTATGGTTCATCTCTAAATACAAACTGCTTATGATAATGTTCAAACTAGTGTTCAAATCTTTGCAGAACAATAAATCAAAGAAGCCCAAATGGCTTTAATATAATATAGTTAAAGAATGTTTTTAGCCACTTTAAGTATTTTTCTGACTGCTCATAAAGTCTAAAATTAATAGAAATGTCAGAATTCAGGGATTTATTTTCTTTACTTTTTGTTTTCTGGGTTGTTTACGTGTTACTCGTGTCTTACCTTACTAATTACTCTGGATACATTTCAGCAAAGAGTTGTTGTTCAAGTGAGATACTCATTCAAACATTCGTCATGCAATTCTTTTTTCTCAAAGGGCTATGTTTAGGCTTCCGAAGCATCGGAAGTGGTTGTTTCCAGTTTCTGAAAAGTTCTCGTGTCGTGGGAAACCAGCCAAGAAAATTCTCGGCGTGGTTTGTTTATGGCTTCATTCACGTTGGAATGTTCCAAAATCTGAATGTTAACGTGGCGCATATTAATCACGTAATTCTTTTGTTGAACGTAACGCACCAAGAATGAGTTTGTTTGTTTGGTACGGATTGTTGCTGCTCACAAAAACTGTAAATTTCGATTTTTTTTAAATAAAGAATCTGTCTGGGGTAATTGTGTTTATTTTTTTCAGACCCATAATAAAGCATTTGCATTATTTATATGTTTTTTTGTAAAATAGTCTTAATTTCTACCTGGTGCCTTGAATGTTTGTCATTTTATCGAGGGGGGTGGGGGGGGGAGAGTATATTAGCTAGAGGCCAGCCGATATATTCATTTTTTTTCTATATCGGCGGAAATTATTTTTAAAAGCCAATTAAAAATAAAAAAATCAGGCACCTGTGTGGCCAACTGCTGCCACTACCATACTGAAGAAAGAACCCAAAGGACCCCAGCACTGTTTTTTTAAGGTTTTGAGTTCGTTTTTTATATTTGAATTTCAATAAATATTAAGAGATTTAGTGACATATCTCATTTATATTGCACACCGTGAGGGTTCAGTTGTCTTTCACAATCAATGTGCTGCTAAAACGTATATCGGCCTTAATAATCTGCTTTAGATATCAGCCATCGGCAACAAAATTCTTTAAAAATTGGTGTTGGCATCAGCTTTAAAAGAAACCATATCAGTCGGCCTCTAATATTAGCATCGTTAACATATTGGTGTTCAGACTGAGATCGATATTGACTACAAACTTTTAAAATAAACCTTTCTGCATTCAAATTTTTTATCTACCAAAATGTGGAGCTTCAAAATGGCCACAAATGTCAGAACAGATTCTGTAATGCCGCAGGTATGCTCTCCTTCCTGTTTGTTTCATACTGAACCCTGCAGCTCAAATGTTCTTCTCACGTTTTCACACAATAGCTGCAGGAACTTCAGCTTTGTTCAAGCTGTTGAGGAATATTATCGCCAGCTGCATTTATTTTGGAAGCAGCCACCAGATATATTTCCAACTACATTTTTACACTATTTTTACGAGTTGTGAGCTGTTTTGTTAAAAAATGAGACTAAACAATTTTCCTCACAATGTGTTTGTAGTACTGTTGTAAAGGAAAGCCTTACAGGAGAATTTTGCTGCAGATTTCTCTTCCTGCAGGATCAAAGTCCTTCAGAAAATCATTTATTTAAACTAAACAGTTTTAAAAAATCCTCAATTTACTTGACGTGCACTGCTGCCTTTTTATATGAAACCTCTCTGATGTATTTTTTCTTCTATCTAGCATGGATTTATTTAAACGTCCACATTTTCTGTTTTTTTTTCCAGCAGCAGTTTCTCTGTACTCTCATGAAGTTATTTTGATGAAGAGAGAAAACAGGCAGCGTTCTAATATTAAAACTACTGAATGAGCTGCAAGATTGCAGCTAAGCCAAAGTTACTATTCAGGACATGAAGAACCAATGACCAGCTGATTCCCCTTCAAACACCCCGCCCTTCCATCTGATGCACTCAGCTGATGCAACCCAACAGGACGATGTCATTTTCAGTTGTCCCTTCAGACTTTCCAGACAAATGTTGAAAGATTGTTCCTTTCTCCTTGTTAAAAATAGCCATCAGGAAACCGTTTTTTTTTTCCAACATAGTCAGCTTTTTTTATAGGTTGCGTCTGCACTTGTCACTGCATTTTCCTCCTGGGTGTGCTTTCGTGTTTGTGGTTCTGTGTGTCAAAGCTTATCGTGACTTCAAGTGACACTCCACCCGAAATCATTCTGCTATCTAACACTCCAACATTCAGCTCCTCCTGCTGTCTGTCTCCAAAATACCCCGATCTTAGGTTAGACTCAGAGCAAAAATGTCTTTTCAGGAGAATTTATGTTCATTCAGTTGTACAGAAATTCACCGAAGGCTACGGTTAGATGCAAATAGCACTTATCTGACTCATGTCTGTTGCTTTAAACCAACCTGTTTACAGACAGCAACAAGGATTAGTTACACTGAGTTTTAATCAAATGGAAAAAAGAACATGTTATTAAAAGAAATGACTTTTTCTTTACGAAATCAAACAATCAGCCCAATATATTGATTTAAGAAAGTAAAACTTAAGAAAACATGGACAAAATCTAGTCAGACAAAAACTTCTAAACTCTTTGGTTTTCTCATTTTTACATTATTGTAGTTTTTGTAGTTGCGTGATCATTTGTGTGGTAAATAGTTGCCTCAAACTTTATTGTTTTCTTCAAATGCAAACTGAACAAAAACCATCAATGTGTTCATATTTAATAAAAAGTTGTGTGTTATTTCCAGCTGAAATAACCTCCCTATATTATAAAATGACTTATTATTTCAGTTTAACCAACCAGCATCAAATCCATGATCCCGGACAAGCCCCCAATATTATCTACCAGCTGGCAAAGGCACTGAAGCATTATAATAGACTCCAGATCATTGTTTATAAAGTTTACAAACTAAGTGTTTATTTCAAATATATGAAAAAAAATTAAAGGGAGGGAGAAACATACACAAAAAGATGTGCCTTTATAGACTCCTCCCACAACACTCAGGTGTGTTGCAAAAAGTTGAGGGTGAAAAAAACCCATTTTGAGAAAATACACTTTTTCTCTTTAATCCATGAAAGCCTGAAAGCATAGCTAAACAACTTGAATTATTGAGTACACAACTCATTGGTTAAACTGTACATCACAGGTGTAAAAACCTTTCAAGATGAGGGCCAAATTTGTCAAGTTAATGGTCCTTGCAAACCACAAAAATGTAATTTTTTTAATTAAAAAAATGCAAATAATTTTTGTGTTATTTTCTATTATTGTCAAAATATGTCCAGAATGTGCATATTAATAAAAATCGGAACATAAAAATGCCAGAAAGTGTTGATTTATGTCAACAGCTTATAAAGTTCACCATTGCAGAAATGCAATTGGGGTCCACGCAAAATCACTCTGAGGGCCAAACATGGCCCCTGGGCCACACTTTGGACGTGTCTGCTTTTTAATCAAGTGAAATTGATTACATAAAATTTGTGTGTGTTTTATAATACCGACCTTGCTTTTTTGTTATGCTGCTAGTTGTAAAGCTTTGAACTCAGAGGTCATTGTGTTACAGCCTGGCTCACATTCCTCTCTGCAGGCTCACCTCCTAAACATAAACCTACCACTGAACCTTGAATAACTGCTGGTCTCCAGGGCAACAGTAAGCTGCTGGAGGAGAGACTGCCACCAGGCTGAGAGTACTGTAGATACCACAGGTCTGAACAAGAGCTTAGAGACAGATCTTATCGTCTAAATGCCCCCGACGACCTGATGAGCTGTTTGGCCTCCAAGCCTCAGTTCCTTAAAAGACCTACTCCTAACTTAGTGATAAAATTTTGTTTGGGTTACAAAAAATGAATTTTTAGATTTAGATAAAGATTAGCAGCCTTTGCTACTTGCACTTACAAAACAAGCCCTATTTGTAAAAAAAAAAAAAATAAATCATAGATTTAGACATTTTATCAGTATTGATATTTCTGAAGCAAATTAAAAATCAACCTTATTCTGGTAATAATTAAACGAGTGCTTCTTCAATTTGCGCACAAATGTACAAACGTTGTCGCGGCACACTCAATGAGTCATCAGCAAGAACAACACAAGGTTCTTGACCCTGTGATCTATTCACAGTATTGTGCAACACTTTCGACAAACATTAGACTTATTACATAAGGAGAAGGGATGCGATTCCACTACAGTTGTAGGAGATGAAGGTTATGTTTTATGTTGGCGTTAGTTTTCATGACCTCTTTTCTCTATCTTCGTCAACACACACACACACAGAATACAGAGTTGTGTCTCCATCCCTTCAGAGGACATTATATTGACTTTGTTCCAATTACTGGATCAATATAACATTAAGTCCAACCTGAAATGTATTGATTTGTTTAATGTGGACTGTTTGAAGCCTCCATAATGTGTAATTAATTGATTTTATTGAGTTTGTGGCATCAATTAAAAGAAAACAGAATTTTGAAACATTTTGCTCATTATGGAATTAACATGTTTATGACTTTTACAGTTCCTGAATTACTGGATTTACTGTAAAATAAATCTAAAACTTCAAACTTGCAAAGCATTTAATTTTCATGAATTTTCTATGACTCTTTTTTTTTAAAAAAAAAAGGCCATATGCGACCAAGTCATTACAATATGGGCTTTTTCTATTTGAGAGTGCCTTGGAGTTTTTCTTGTTTTTTCGACTGAATCTTCCCATCCAAAGAGCACCTCAAACCAACTTATTGAGTCCAGGAAGCGTTCCTTTATAAAAGTTCTTTAAAAAAGATTGGATTTAAAAGGGTCCGGGTCAGAGATGAAGCTTAAATCCAGTGGGAGCTGCTTCCATAGTTGAGGTGCTGCTACAGAGAAAGCCCGGACGCCCCAGTGTTTATCTCAAACTGGGATGACTGGGGTGGCCTTCTCAAGGCCGTAAATGCAGAACTTCTGTTGCATCACATGCTGTGTGGCTAATCTCAGGTAACAATGTGTAATATCAACGACCCCCCCCCCCCCCCTTGTTTCAGTGGTACATTATGTACAATGTGGACAGCTAGCAGTGGTGATGTAACAATGGGGAGGGTAAAAAACAGGAAGTCAGCAATGTGGCACATCTTATCAGTGTTGTGGTGTTAAATGTAGTACAGGTGTCTTCATTTGGCAGTGGAAACGTTTTGAGCAACATGTTTTCCCAGTCTTTTTATGGAAGGTTTTCCTACGGATGCTTTTGCTGTCTTTTCTGTTTAGTTAGCTGGAAAGATTCCCACTGAGCATCTGTGCACCAAGCACAGCAGTAGCACGGTCAGCGTGGCTCATTGTTGTTTTTAGAAACCTGTAATCTAAGCACAAATACAGAGGCTAAATGTCCCAATTTCAGAGTTTCAGAGAAAATGACTCTAGACACATGGAAAACAATCTCAAATGTGAAAGGTTGAACTATTTTAAGTTTTCCAAGGATGACAGAACCTCGTCAACCCACTGCTGGCATACAGTTTTTCCTAGGGCTGAGGTTTGGGTTAGATTCGGATTTAGTGCTGGTAGCCTCTAAATAAACCCATCTCACAGGAAGGAGCAAAAAAAAAAATTAAAAAAATTGTAGGAAAAGCACCAAACTGTTAAGAGTGTTCTCTGGACGGTTTAGACCCAGAAAAAAGTACAAAGAAGCTCCCTGATCTTATTTGAATGATGCAATTTGCAGAAAAACAGATATTAGATTCAGGGCGTTGATCCTAAATTTCGAACTAATTTCTGAGTGCGTATTCCTGAAAAGTTTTGAATGGGTGGACACCTGAAACAGGAAGCCCGGATGCGGTCCTGTTTATGTAACATTTGCCTGTTTTTGGGAGGAGAAGCTAACATTTGAGCCTGACTTCTCAGCTGGAGCTCTTTGCCCAGTCATGTTCTTTTCTGTAGAGCGAAGAAGAGGGGGCACGTCACGTGGGTTAGTGACAGTCCGTTTAGCGCTTTCTAATTGGCTTAAAAGCCCTTAGCCCGTCCCCTACGATAGGTTGTCCTTGCCGACGTCACCACGATCAGCTGTTAGAGCTCTACAACAACAACAAAAGAAATCGCAGTACAGGGACCGAGGAGGAAACGGCGGAGACAAAACTGCACTGCGACTCCCCATGTGCAGTCCCTGAAAATAACGTTTTTATTCTTTTATTTCTTCCGCGAAGAAGCCTAGATTTTTTCTATTTTTCGAAAAGTAACGAATCTACATCCGTTTTAAGGATTTTAATCGCGATTTTAAGTCGGTCACGTCTCGTTCTCCTGCCGCAGGTGGGTTCTTTGTTTTCATTTTGGTGAACATTACGGATCTATTGTATCCTATGTTGATGCAAATAACGGTTTTCACCTTTATCTCATTAGAAACAGCTATTACTTCACCATTCATGTCAGAAACAATCGACAACGATGCTATTATACTTTGACTTTTATATTTGTACTCGGTTTGTTCTGCTTAATCGAGCTTATTTTCAGCGTTGTTTTTGAGAAAAAAAACTGTGGCTTTGTGCACCAATGAGAAGGTATGGTATTGCTTTCGAACAAATTTAATGACATATTTATATATGGAGATGAAAGTTTAGCAGGCAGCCTGCCTGAGTGGTCCAGCCCTGCTAGTGTAGGATTACAGCCTCCTCCTCTTCCTCTTGTTTAACCATCAGAGCTGCAGCTCTTATCACTGGACCAGTCCAGCTCCCCCACCTCCGAACTGGTAAATAAATCACACTAATAATAATAATAATAAGCTACTGAGAAACTTATTCACCATTTTTGAAAAGGAGTTGGGTACAGTTTTCTGTGTTATTAAAAACTGCTTCATGTGAGTTGCAAATGGTTTATGATTTACAAAATTAGGTAAAAAATCTGGCTGTAAAACACTGAAATGTAAAATTTAAAATCTATTCTTTTGCTGAATTAAACAATTGTGATTTATGGGAAGGGCTAGATATAAGCCCTTTGTTTGCAAACGTGCTGCTGTTTTATCTTCCTTTATCCCTGATTATGGGACATCCATTGTGGTTTAGTCCTAATCCTACAGCCTGTCTTGCAAGCATCCCATATAATTTACATTTCTACTGCCTTTTATGAATAAATGGTGCATGATATAATGTAACCCGAGCAACATTCTCTAGTTCAACATTCACAGTGAGACCAAATCAAGAAAACACAAAATAAACCTACTCAGAATGTCTCTTGTGGTGACTACCTTAACACCATTAAACAAACGAAGTCATCTGAAAAGTGTTATTTGTTTTTTATGTTTTTTATTCAAATATTAGGGAGGAGTTAAATGGTGGTGAAGAGGAAACAGGTGTAGTAGATTATCAGCCTGCTGTTGATACTGATTCACTCAGTCACTTTAAACCCTTTTGTTCTGTTTGCTGTCCATCTCAGATGCTCCATGTTTACTGAGCCTGTATCAACTAGTTGTTTTTGAAATGCGAAGTTTTTTTTCTTGTTTATTCAAGCAGAAAATTATTTCTGAGAATTACAGCACATCCTTGTGGCCCAAAAAGTACCACATCCCTTCAGTGGCAGTTACAAAATGTAAATGAGATGTTTGCGGTTGCTTGCTGGTTCGTATTTAGGTTGTTCTGTCGGCTTCCATGGTTTGAAGTGTTCTAACACTGCTATTATTATTTTTAAGTACAACTATTTAGAACAAATAAATAACATGTTAGCATTAAGTTTAGTTGCTTAAAATTATCCAATAAAACTACATTTATCTTGTTTTTTTTATTGTGGGCAACTTGGGGTGTCTAATGTACCCAAAAATGATATCCAAAAACCAGTCGTCTTTACCCTGTCTTGCTTTTCTGTGTTAATTAAAAATGATGTAATAGCCAAATGGAAATGATTCGTTCTAAGAAAAGCTAGTTTAACACGTCATTAGCTTAGACACTCCACCTTAAATTAACATGTCAGCAATATATAAATGTCGCAGGAATGCTAACCGCTGAACGATAGTCAAGAGTTACTGCTAACACTGGCCTGAGCTTCTGCCAATGCTAGCATGAGCTACTGATAATACTAGCCTAAGTCTGTGACTGCTACTCTGGGCTACTACCAATGCTAGCCTGAGCTACTGCTAATGCAAGCTTGAGCTAAGTCTGTGACCGCTAGCCTGGGCTACTACTAATGCTAGCCTGTTAGCTTGAGCTAAGTCTGTGACCGCTAGCCTGGGCTACTACTAATGCTAGCCTGAGCTACTGCTAGCCTGAGCAGCTGCTAATGCTAGCCTGAGATACTGCTAACTCCCTTGTTGGATGAGAGAAAACAAAAAAGAAAAATGTTGGGAGAATATTTGATAGATTTGTCCCTCGCTCATCTACACTGTCCACAATAAATATTTAAATCAACCAATATCACTGTACTATTTATATTTGGTATGCTACATTTTAGTCTTAGTCGGTAGTATTTTTCTTATCGAGAACACCATCATTTTAACTTTCTTAGATTTGCACTCTGGCAGATGGAGAATCAACTTTAAAAGGGATTTTATTAAACTAAAACAGTAAGTTAAGAGGACAAAAAGAGGATTAAATGACGGGGGTGGGGCCCTGTTGTGTTGGCTTGAATGCACTATCACTTTGCCAGTAGGTATCATTAATACAGCAGCTGCAGTGGGACCGTTACACTGATCACTTTTCATTTTCTCTACTTTCCTTATGTGAAATTCAGCAGAGAGTCCAGCAAGCCGGCTGCCAGCCAGCTGTGTCTGCATGTCCACTGAGGACAGCAGAGCTCTTTATGTACGAGTGAATGTAGCACAGGCAAAGGACAGCGTCTCTGTGTTTGCTTCCATCAGATCAATGTCCCAGCTGCTGTTTGCATCTCTCCAGCCTGACAGGAGATTTAGTGTTGGTGATTCACTTTACAGCCTTGTTACACCTGTGTACACCAACAGAATAGTTGATGTTACTTTGCCTGCTCATCTAAGATTGCCTGGTGTAACATTCTGCTCAATTGAAAAAATAGATTTTTTTAAATAAACTAGACTAATATAAAAGTATGTCTAAAGGCGACATAGTATGACTTTTGAGTTATAATAGTTCTACGTTCGATACAAAACATGTTTATGACTTTCGTAGTACCAAATCGCTCTCACATAAGCTGATTTAAGCAGTTTTATTTAAAAAAAATCAGTACCTTTCAGAACAGAAGCGTTTCAGGGCTCTGTCATTTTAAGAAAACTGTCCACGCCCACCCACCCCTGGCTCAGGCTGCTATAAGCTGAGAAGCTCCGATATCAGGGAGGGGCTTGTAATCTCTTGCACATGAGGTGGTTCTATTCTACTTCCCCCATTTGTGATGTCACAAATAGGGGCTTTTTAAAACAGCCTGTTTAAGGCATCATTCCTAAAATCAAACACTGACAGAAAATGGATGGATGAGTTTCAATTTATGTTTGGAGTGTTTATAGAGGCAGAGACTGACAGGGTATCACAAAAGGACGTAAAAGGGAGTTTTGCATATGTCCCCTTTAAGCGGATCTAGATTTCTGGTATTTTTGGGTACTAAAACTTGTAACTGAATTGCTTAGCTAGCTGTAGAGATTCCATATTTATGCACTGAAACTTTTATCCTCCACTTTAACAGCTTGTTTCAGGAGAATCACAGTCACCTCTAAGCTCTAACCCAATGATCAATTTTCAAAGATTAATAATTCACAAAACTTTGTATAACAAAAAGAAATTAATTCTCTTTCCAGTGTCTTATTCTTGTAATAATTTGGCTTTTGATCCATTAGAATCCAGCTGATTTCTCCCGGTCTTGTCTCCTCAGGTCTCTCTTTTCTTCTTGTACTTTTGCACTCGTGGAACCCCAACGTGGAGCGATATCTCTCCTGAGCCTCAGATGATCTATGACCACACCTTACTGATGCACTTCAGCACCTTTCTGGAGCCTTCCACCTGCTGTGTAGCCTGCAGCTGATGACCAAAACGACTGCCATCTCTCCCCGCCGTTGCCCCGAGCTTCGCGCCTCACTCAGCCTCACGCACCTTCAGGACGCCCCGGGATGTTCCAGAGGTTCGCCAGCGCTCTGTTCGGGGACAACGTGGATCAGCTGAGTCAATGCAGCAGACCTGGGGACAGCAAGGAGGAACAGGAGGATGACTGGATCCTTGTCAACTACCTGGGTAAATCTAAGGAACAGGGGAATTAGCATTAGGCTAGTTACACTAACTCACTTTTATGCTCGTGTGAAGTCTTTGGTATATTAAAAAACTTCCCTTAAATGTACCTTCCTTCTATATTAAAAGTCTAACAGTCTCTACATGCTCATCTAACCAGCTATTCTTTTCCAACACGTCATGAAGATGATTGAGCTCACATCTTTTGAGTGTTGGATGTTTTATTTGAGACACTGTAATTTAATTAATTTTAGATTAGCTAAACTTCACAGGACAAACAGCTGGCAGCCATATTTTGTGGAATAGCTTTATTGGAAAATTAAAATGACTGCTTTTAGATCATTACCACCATAAATGTTTGATGCATCTCACAGATGCCGGACTTTCCTGGCAGCGGCGTCAAAGTGCTTATCGTAAAGATGAGGGTATGTGCAATAACATCATATATATACATACATATATATATATAGCTGCCAGTGGAAAGATGAAAAAGTCCTTATGTGCAGAGAAAAAGTAGAGATTAGGAGCAGCAGCAGCTCGGAAATAACGATACTGTTTAACTTTAGAGTTTTGTAACAGCAAGTAAAAGCTTAGCCAAGTTTCCAGAGCTGCCTGAGACCAAAAACAGATCCCAGTCAAAACAGACAAGACAGGCAGAGCAAAGTTCAACAAGTCACACGCGCTTTATACGGCCGCATGACGCACTGCAGCGACCTCCAGCTGGCTCAGACCCGTTCTTGACACAGTCTTACTTTGGACCCTTTGCCGGTTCTGACTGGACTTGTCTCCTATTCTGCAGTCGTGTGGATATTTCATGCAGGAGGGGGCAGAAACCTGCTGTGCTGGTAGCAGAGCAGGATGTTAAACACCAGCCAGTTTATGGAGACCTCCACCTGTAAACTGGTCAAGTAGAATTATTGAAGGAACTAAAGGGTCTAAAATAGGTGGTTCCCCATTTTCACCACCTGATATGGACTTGTATTGTTTTTGATCGGCCTTCGTCTGTTTATCACAAAGAGTTGTGTATTTGTCATTTTGTTACTTCACCTGGAAGCAAATATAAGCTGTTTATCATGAACTTTTTCTTAAAAATGACTTTTTGTGTGGATTTAAAATCACCAACTTACTTATTAAAATGTAAATGATAAATGCAGTGTATGTATATAGAGCCTTCTGGTTCTACAACCACCACAAGGCATTTTACAACACAATCATTCACCCATACACACACACACACATTCACACTATTGGTGATGAGCTACCATGTAGCCACAGCTGCACTGGGGTACACTGACAGAGGCAAGGCTGCCGAGCACTGGTGCCACTGGTCCCTCCGATCACCACTAGCTGGCAAGGTGGGTTAAGTGTCTTGCCCAAGGACACAGCGACTATGACAAACTGAGCTGTTCTCAACCCTCTGGTTACGAGATGGGCCCTTAACCCTTCTGCCACCATTGTCCCTACACATGTTTGTGAACTTGTGTGTGGTTTTGCAGAAACTCCACATTTCCCTTTACAATCGAAGCATATTGAAATGTGAGAACTAGGGATGAGCCAGATACTCGTTTGTTCAAACGAGTATCCGGTACGGATAATGCATTTTTGACGAATACGAGCATGAAACGAGTAAAACTCGTAAATATCTGTAATCGTGCTGAAGGAAAATCCTCATTGGGTAACTGACTGTCTTCACGCTCTGTGATTGGCCAGTGACATAGAGCGCTCGCCCCTCCCTTCACACAAAACTCTGCAGTCTCAGTCCAGCCCAGCACGCACACACACACACACACACACACACACACACACACACACACACACACACACACACACACACACACACACACACACACACACACACACACACACACACACACACACACACACACACACAGTAACGGATCTCTCTGTGCTTGCTTCACTGTTGCTCACGTTTCTTCAGTACTCCCTGGGATTTCTTCAGCTCGCCTCTTTTTCAGTTTAATATTTAAAGTTACTTTTTTCATAACGTACGTGGTGCATATGACAAGACAGCTGAAAACGGCTCGCGCTGCGTCGGTCACTGCCTCTGCTCTGCTCTGGGTTTTCTCCATCTCTCTCTGTATGTATTAATTCATGCACTTAAACATTAATGTTCTGATTTTATTGAAAAGCTTGTTCTGCAATAGTTCCTTTACTATTGTGATCAAAAACATTTAATCTGAATTCTGAGGCTGCTCTGTAAATAGTTTTCAAATAAACAATACACATAGCAACTTCTGATCAATCCTTATCAATTTCAGACTTAAAATAATGTATTGATGTAAACCACACCCACTTCCGGGTAAGGCCACGCCCACTCCGAGTACAGATACAGATCATTTAGATGCTTGAACAGATACAGATAGTGTTGTACTCGCTCATCGCTAGTGAGAACCAGTATTACCTGTTTGCTAAACAAATGTTTTGAAAATTGCTTGCACCTGTGTACTAGATGGGTGCGGCACATGTAAAGGATTGTTGCACGAGAATGAAACACTGTTGCAAAAACACATTACGAATCTTGCAGATTTGTTCACGTGTTAGGGAGATGGTAACGTGCAAGTGCTTTATTAAGTGTTAGCTCCAACTGCAGACTCCGAGCACGTTTGCTTTGGAGGATTCATCGGGTTCGTTTTTAATCCAGACTGACCTCATTAACCCAGCACACGGCCCGCTTGTAAACACAAATCTCTGCTGGTGTTTTACTGACAACGCTGCCTCACCGTTGATGTAAAGACTTGTTGTCTGGTTAACACTCCAAACTTAAACCTGCAGCTTTAGCGGGAAACCGATCAGCTGCAGAGGTAACGGCGAGAACTGATCTATTAATTCTGTTTAGTGGTTTACGTTTGCACATCAGTCTCTTGACGCTGAGTCAGCACTCTACAGCTTCTCTGTCCTATTGTGGGTAAACAAAGACGCCTCTGTGAACTCCTAGGAGTGGTGTTAAAGTCGTGTGTGCAAATGAGGTCCAAACACTTGTTCACAAGCACAGGAACAAAACATGCATCCACAGCAAGGCTGCAGGGGATCATTGGATGACGCCTAGAGGTTTTAAAAGCTGTGCGTTCATGCAGGTGTGTGTTTGTTTGTGTATGGTAATGCGGACACATTGCAAGTCTAGATGATGATTAAATATATCTTGTTATACTTCATTTGACCAGAGGTGAAAATAGTATCTCCTTAAACAGAACTGGATCCAAACATAGCCGTCTGCTTATTTGATGGGGTTATTTTTAGCATCTCATCTGCTTGCTTGCACATTCTGTGCCCTGGCTAAAAACAAAACCTATGCCCTGGTTTGCAGCTTCTTAAAAGCTTCCACTTCTGCACACCTTGCAGTGCATGGGTTTGACATTTTCGTAGATTATTTATGTGCACCCTTACCCTAACCGTGCTTCTAGTGCAGGAAATAAAAAGCCAGCTGTTTAGCAACAGCATACGGTTGTGTTTACACTCTCAAACAGAAACCTGCAGGTAGGTTGTGGTTTCGGTGTTCAGATGGAGAGCTGCAGGCCTGTCATGACTTGTGCTGCCACCTCCTGGCAGACTGGTGAAATTTTGGCTTGATATCAACTTTAAAATCAGAAGCAATAGATTTGATAGAAGTTTGTTGAGTTTTATAAACTGTTTCTACAACATTTTCAGCTTTTTCCTGTACTTGTTGTAAATGTGATGAACTAATGTGTGAAATATTATTTTCACCTCCTCTATGCAGCTGACACATGCTCTTCTCAGTGTGGAGAGGGCCTCTCAAGATCCACTGTCAGTCCTGATGATGATGAGGAGGAGGAGGAAGAGGAAGATCTAGTGATGATCCCCTCCCCCATAGCCAACCCTGCCATCCGCTACCCTTCCTGCACCTCCCTCAACTCCACCGCCGACACCGACCTGGACGGCGCTGCGGAGGATGAGGATGTGGACGAAGAGGAGGGCGGCTTCCTGCATCTGGATGCTTGCTCTCTTGAAGAGAGCTGGTTCGTCACCCCCCCACCCTGCTTTACCGGCCACAACAAGCAGCCGATCCTCCTGGAGACCAGCCCCCTGGAGAACCTGCTGATCGAACACCCCAGCATGTCCGTCTATGCCCACCACGGCCCCCTACGACTGGCCCGTGACCCCCTACCACCTCGCTCGCTCAGAATGGAGTTTTTGTCCACCAATCCAACAGCTTCAGGAAAGGAGAAGGCAAGACACGCTTTAGAAGGAGCTAAACTCAGGTAAAATTCAAGGTCACACTCCTGTTTTGTCTGCTTAAGCAGAAAGCCTGAATTAAATTAAGATATTTAATTTACTTACCCTTTGTTACAATTGGTTTGGTTTTGTCGATGTTACAATTTAAGCTTGTTGTTGACATATTTCATTTGTAGAATTGATTTTAGATTAAAGTCTAACATCTGTTAAGAGGAAGCGAACAGTGCAGCTAAAAATAGTTGAGGATCCTTAGGTAACATTTAAATACTATGAAAGGATTATACAGTTTTTCTATATAAAATAAGACTTTGCCAGTTTGTTCAGACAGAACTCCAATTAATCAGGTAATCTCGGCCTTTATCGCCCCCTGCAGGCCAGAGGTGGCAGTGTTTCAGCGTCGCTCCAGCCTCCACTCCCCCTGCTACGCTGCAGCGCTCTCTGCCCACACCGGTCTCCTGCAGCAGCGACCAGGTAACGTCACCCAACGCACCCAATCGCTGTCCCGCAAGGCCTTGCGGCGCCTCAACTTGCTACGCCCCCTGAAGCCCGGCACCATGCACCTGAACCAACCCAGTCAGAGGCACTTCAACTTCTGAAGGGGTTACAACATCCCCTCCCACATCATCATGATCACCACCTCAGTACAGCCCGGGAATCTACTGGCCACGCCCAAACACCCACCTCATTTGTTCTCCTTTTGGAAGGAACACCAGCAAACAGCTCTTTAGCCACAGTCAGCTCCCAGCTCTGTTCAGCCTTAATACTGAACATTCAAAAGGGACGTGTGGTTGATTTTTGTTTTTACTTAAAACAGATTCTGTGGCCAGTGAACCGTTTCTCTCCTGACATTTTCATCCTTTCCATCCATAGATGCAATGAAGAAGAGATGTGCACCCACTCCCTCTTTCATCAGATTCTTTCTTCTCATTTCTACTTTGCATCCAATCACAAACACAAGAGATGTCATGACCCATGACATCTTCTCTTGTTAGTTTTTTAATTTTTTTATGTGTAGAATCGATGCTGTAGGTCACTTTATTCAGAGGCAGGTTCACAGCGTGGCAGGATGGTCCAGTGGTGCTATTTCAGGGACTCGCAGAAGGATGCTTGGTTTCCAAGATGGCAGGAGACATTTGGGACCCTAAATCCTTAGGATGTGTCGAGTAGTGTCATAATGGTCCAGATTGATGAGCGAGGATGTGAGGTTTCAGTGTAGGACAGTGCCAATATCAGCTTGTTGTTTAAACAGAGGGTTGGTGTTGTCATTGAGTAACAGGGAAACCACAAAGCGAAAAACCTGCACCAGTGTTCTGACACTAAAATCATCATCAGCTGTTCCGTTTGATTTGTTCCTTTTTGTATTTCTCAACAGAACAGACTACGTTCACAGTTCAAATGTTGCGTCCGCACCTCTGCTTTGTTAGAGAGGCACATTTGTAAGAATACTTAACTTTTATTGCATGACTACAACAATTTAATTACAACAATCAAGTTACAGTTCGTTTTTTTACAAGTTTCAAAATATGATTTTGCCAAAAAAAAGTATGTTGATGTCATAGTTTTCTGTCTCAGTGACATGAAAGTATTTATATATTTCCTTTCAGCTTCAGACAATTGCACTCACATGCTTTGTTCCACATTTTGCATTATGCAAAATCATCACACAAAAAAATCAGAACTTAGCAGGGTTAGGGGGGTCCAAGGTGGCAGTGGCCCACCTTGAACCCCCACTCCTCTCTAGAACCACCCCTGGCCCCTTGACTCATTATGAACATTTCATAATTTGCCATTTTGAGTGACAGACAAGGAAAGTGTCAGTTGGAAATCTTCTTTAGAGACATTTACGAACCTAAAGACAGCCCAGATGCTGCATTCATAGTTTCCTATGAAACTCAAGGCTGCAAAACTGAAAACTGAAAGAAGAGTTGGAACAAATGTTGACTCAAACACACTTCTGTACTGTAGCTGCTTCACTTGTTGGACTTTTCTGCTGTTGAACAAGCAGACACGTCTCTACATGTATCTCTGTGATTTTTGACTTATTCTGCTCACTTGACCTCAGGTTTTACTTTTACTGATCTTTTCCAATTTTTAAACCATCACTGCAAATAAGCGATTTAACTTTATCTGATACTTTGAAGGGGATTTCTCTTTTTTAAAATCCTGCCTTTCGAGATATTCAGCACCACATTTTGATCAATTCAGCGCCTCCTGCAGCACATCCTGAACCTGCTTCTGATTCAAAACTTCTCACATTTTCTTTCTGAGAAAATTTAAATTAAGACTGTAAATTTTACTGGGTTAAATATCACTAAATGCCTTGTTTTAAGTGCAGCTTTGAAATGAAATGTAAAACAAAATGTATGTTAAAAAAAACACAAACTTCCAAAATAGTCTTTTTGAAAATTAACCCTTTGATGCATGAATTATGAAATCGTCAACCATGATTTTTTAAACAATTTTTTTCATTCATCTTTAGGTGTGAATGAAACAAATTTCATATTTACATATTTTTTGTAAAATTTAATTTACAAATAATTTATTACATGTCCACCTCAGTGGACAGTGTGCAATCTGAACATGAAAAATGTTGGCTTGACTTACTGAAGTACAGATGGAGGGGTTCAAATGCAATAAAGTCTTCAACAGCTGTGCTTAATAGCAAAAATAAATAAATAACAATTTTAAGTACCTGTCCACTGTAGTGACCATTATGCATCAAAGGGTTAAAAAAAAATATTTTACATATCAGTATGAAGTTGTGCGCATCTATGATTGTTTGCTTTGGAATGTTTGGTCATGATAGTGTGCAGTTTGTTGCATGGTTATAGCGTTTGTGTTAGTGTCACAATGTTGGGGAAAAAAGAAAATGGAAAATGTTTTTCTTTGTTATGAAATGAATCTGCAGTCCACTTCTCAGGGTCACAACCAATCATCCTTACACTTTAGGAAAATGCAGATTTACTCGACGGGCTGATAAATTCTCCGTGCTTGCTCGGACTTTTCCAGCTCTTGATTCCTTGTGAAAATGTCCGTGAGAAATAATCAACTTTTAATTTAGAGTTTAAAAAACATCTTTCAGTCTGTGGACTGTGAAAATGAACTGTTTTACTTGTTGAGAGTCAATAGGACACAGAAAAACTGTTGGTCTTTTCAGAGTTGTTTATTGTTTTTGTTTTTTTCAAGTGTTCCTAACTTTGTTTTAAAAATGTTCTTAATGCTTTTTTTTAGCTGTTATGATTATCTTTTATGCTAAAACAGTTACATTTTAAAATATTTAAGCCAAAAACCAGTAGTGATCCTTAACCTTATTTTCCGTGTAATGCTGATATATACGTATTTCTTGTATTCTTGAAGTGATTGTTAACAGCTCTTTCTCTATGAAATAGTGGACTGTTCCATATTTATTGTGTGCTGTACAGAAAGTCGGGGCTAGAGGGAGTCAAGTCTTCTTCCTTTCCAGTCGGCTCATGGGTCTCCAGAAGAATGAAAAAATGAAAGCAAGTCAACGGGGCTAAAAACGCTATTTTCTAATCCGCTTTGCCTTATGCCCTGAATCGCACATACATTCATTTTAAATGAAAAGTAATGATGGTTGTTTCAACCATGCCTGTCACGTACTTTGAGATTTATCAGCTTGTAAAATGTCGTAATTGCTATGAATGCAAATTAGAAGTTGGTACGTCGCATTTATGACGTCACCACAGAATCTTTGCTCACCCTGCTACTTACCGCATGACATGGACGTAATTTGGGGGGGGGGGGGACAGGGGGACATGTCCCCCCCCCCCCACACACACACTTTTTCCAAAGTCACGTTTGGACCCCTGCACTTTTTACCATCCATAAACAATATTATGCTATATAAAACTGACACTGGTTGAACTCTAGGACCAAGCAGAAAACAACCGTTGGTGTTGAAGCCTGTTTCCCGTTAGAACATACACTAAAGTGAAAATTACGTCCATGCCGCATGACAAGATTTATGGTAGTTCTTTAATCCTGAAGGAAGGAGTTGAAGTTTGCTAAATTTACAACTGTTTTTCCATTGGTTTTCTCCATGTCTGGTTCAATGGCGTCAATTTGGTGATGGGCATTTGTAGTCCTGGACATATTTTCACACAACACCTAAAGTAACTTTGCCCCCGTTTGAAAAGAAGCGCTTTCTTGACATCAGAATGTTTCTTTAAAATTTGTGGACATCATATGTGAAATTTATGGCAAATAACAAATGGGATTAGAAAACAGTTTTTTTTTTTTGCCTCATTGACTTGCATTGATTTTTTCATTCCTCCGGGGACCCATGGTCCGAAAGTAGGTCCCTATAGGCTGTCTCCACACTGCAGAAGGAGGCATTCAATCCTAGTTAGTTTAGATTAGAGTTCTTAGCAGTTTTTTTCTCCTAAATGAACAAAAGTAATATTTGAATAATGCAATTTCAAGCCCTAAACATGTTGTTTACAACTGTATTCATTGTTCTGTAAGAATATTGTGACTGAACAAGAACTCTTACTTAAATTAAAATATTTTGCTCGAACACTGTTCAAATCCAGTATCATTGAAGAAGCTCAAACCCTTTTGCAGTGTTGTCCCTATTCTTACTGAAATAGTATCATTGCTAAAAAAAAATTACCAACAATTGTTGCAATAATACAGTTTGCTTGGTTGTTTTATGCATAAATGTTTGAACTTCTCTGTCATCAACTTCTGAAATCATATTTTATGTTACTGTAATGCTTTTGAAAAAGAAAAAAGGGTAAAGACAGAAGGAGGCTTACATTTTTTTTTATTTTTTTTTTCCTTTCTGCTCTTGGCTTGTTTTTCACTATCAAATTAAACAGGGATTTCTAGTGTTTTTGTTCAATGCCTTGAACTCTGTGGATCATGTGCCTTCCAGGTCAAAATCTTGTAATGACAATGCATCAAATGAAGAACTTGAACTTTTTCCTTTTTTAAAATGTTCTGACTAGACATTTGAAAAACACAAAAAGACATCAGATACAAACTATGCATCACTCGGACGAAGCTTTGGCGCTTTCACCGACACCATCCACCCAGCCTGACAACAGCTGATCTAGTGATTCTAAACTAGACAGAATGATGTAGCAAAACCTATTTTCTCCCTTTTTGTTTTCCGAGTGTGAAGACCATTTTGTGGCATTCGTTGTTATTCATTATTTTTGTTCACCAAGTGTTAGACATGTTTGTTTTTGTGTAGTTTACTGGAATAATGCAGCACTTTGCCAAAAAGGAAAAAAAAAGTAGAAATTTTAGGGTTAACTTTGTATTTAATGATATTCTGTTTTTATTTGTATTTTGGATGTATAACAGATTAATTCACTTTATTTTGATGTCAGAAACAACTACAAAAAAATAAATAAAAAAGTGGGATCATCTGTTTTTGAACTGTAATAGTTAATACATGTGATCTCTTTTTAGCTTTTAATTAATGTTTTCATACACAAACTGTCTGTCTCTTAATAATTTCCTTATAATGCTGTTTTTAACTTTGTCCAGCAACAGATCTGTCTGTCTGTGCCTATCTATCTATGGTAGTAACAATATGCTATACTTCAGATGGCACCAAATTCAGGCAAAGAGTACTGGTCCCAGAATGGAGCCCTGAGGTATGCCACAATTCAAAGGAGCAATACTTGGGGGTGGGGGGCAGGTTCACGGGAAACAAAAAAAGGGTGCAAGTTCACGGGAAACAATCTACCCTAATGGTAGGATTTAATCCACTGAATATTGTGCCTTTACGTAAGACCAACACACAGCTCTAGAAGAAGACAGCAAAATATCATGATCAACAACGTGAAAAGCAGAAAAGCAACCGACTGGTAGTGATCAAACTACCAGAATCAGATCATTCAACACACGATAGAGAGCACTTTCTATGTTATAGTGTGTCTTGAATTCAGGATAAAAAAAATTCTGCATTATAAAGAATGCTGGTGCTGAGATTAATCCACTTTCTCAAGGATCTTAGGAAATAGGTGAATCTTGGAGATCAGCCTGAAATTTGAACCTGTAGCTGTTTATGTTTGTACAATATTTTATCTAAACTCATCATTTTTACCTTTTTTGCCTCTTGTTTATTTGGGTTTGCCTTTATGGATGTGCTTACGTATTTCTATCTTTTTGGAAAAATCTGAGACATCTTCTTGCTCTGGTGTGCTTGATGCTTTTTCCTGCTATTTATACCTCTTTCTTTAAATAATCTAATGGTTCTATGTAGTTGGCAAATTTTTAATATATCATATTTAATATTATTTTCCAATTTTATTGTGGTTTCTACGTTTAATGCTTTGTTTCTGTTATTTAGACCATTTAGGGATTTTTTTCTAGCTCTATAAGTAATTGTTTTATTTTGAGCTATTATTTTGTATCTTGTTACTATGGTAATTTAAAATTCACATTTGGCACGTTTGTTGTGAAGAGAGAATTTTGGATGTGTTTATTATTATCAGATAAAGTATTTAATTCAGAAATGTAATAGTCATCATTCCGTTCATTATAGCAAAAACTATGATAAAAGCTTTAAACAGCTGTTTTTCGGTTTGACAGTACACCCACGTGCTCACTCTGTTTACGTTTTTGAAAGCAGCACGCGGTTGTCGCTGCTCGCGCGCTCATTGGATTGACGTCACGGGAAATCCGCCCATAGGCGGGACCCGTACGCGGAAGCAGTTTCAATTTCGTTTAAAAAACGAAGTATAACTTCGCGAAATAACAAGATCTGCGTATTGGACCAACGCTAAAGCATTCTTGTACGTGTTTCGCGTCGTTAAAATTTAACCGCGAAGTACGGAAACAGTTATATGCTTCATAAAATGTTACAGCGATTATGTGGCCGTTACAAATGAATGCAGACTTTAGGAAAACACGGCAAATAACTCTTCGAAAAGTGTCTAAGGCTTAGAATACGTTACCGTAAAACAGAGCAGGGTCATTCTACCCGGTTTGAGCTCCTTTCTGTTGACCTTCTGTCAAATCACCGGTCAGATTTGAACATTTAGCGCGTTTGTGTTAACCGGGAACAAGCATGCGCACTGGCGCCCTTGTCTTTATGCGGATATAAGGATTGGCGCCGGCGCCACAGCTGATGCAGTCATTCATTCTTCACTGAAGAGGTAAGATCACCGAGCTGGAGCTGACAGATGACCTGATCAGAGTAGCTATTTTAACTATTTTATACTGTTGTAATCCGCTCTTGGGTTGTCTACTTTAGGGGTTTATGCTGTAATGTGTCTTTATCCAAGTGGAGTTTTGTAAAAACAACTTTAAATCAGAGATGGAAAATAGCATGCAGAATAATAACAATTCTTACTTTTATTCATCAAACGAAAACTGCATTATCACTGTATACTGCTGTACCTCGGTTTGAGTGGTTTGCATATTTATCCTCAGTTAAAGTTTGGGGAAACTAGTTTGTACAAACATTAGGTTTTAACTAAGTTTTCGTCGTCTTATCTGCTTTGTCAGCCGTTTCCCTAGACCTTGCTGGTATTCAGATGTTTGTGTGCTGAAGCTAAAGATGACCAGTTTATCTGCATGTTGGGGACAGTCGGTTATTATTGACCTAGTTAGCTGAAACCGGGCTTAGTTCGCTAATTACAGTAGCTACCCACCACATTGTTGCCGCGACTTTAACCGACTTTATTGGCGTTAAACGGGCTCTAAAACAAGCCCCTGTTAAGTATGTGGTAGTAAAGAGGCTATACTAGCAGTTTAAACCAGTTTAAAGGTTAAAACTAGTCGTGTATACTAGTTTTCCCTCGCAGACGTTGGGCAGGTACCGAGAGGCTGGGCTGAAATCCTCCCGCTTCTACGTTGTGGAAATTGGCGCGTGTTTGAGTTTCAATCCTCAAAAAGACTTAAAAATACCAACATTTTGACCACCAAAACTAGTCTAAACAGACAAAAAGACGTGTGCCTCGTGGATGAAGTCGATAAACTTTAGTTAAAATGTCGTATTTTTGAACTTTTTTTGTCTAAAGTCGAGAGACTAATCAGCCCCCCTTCTTCTGGGCTCTAGTCGGCTCCATACTAGCTTACAGAACTTTCTGGGCAAATTTCGACTCTTTATTATTAATTTTAATCACTTTTTCTTATCGGTTGTGATCCGCGGACGTGTAGAAATGTCCCACCTGGTCGAGCTGGTTGAGTTTGCAGCCTAGTTTTGGTTATATCGGGTGACTTCGTGCCTCTCTTGTGGCGGTCACAAGCTAACGCTACATCTGCTGCGACAAGCTAGTCCGTTCATAAATCAGTTTCTAAGCTGATCCTGGGGATTCATACCTCTGTGGTTACAGTGACATTTGGGTGGCATCACTGGGTATTTATAGAGGACACTTAATATATTATTATAACCGTATATATACATAATAATGGGATATATTCTACAGCATGTATTGGAGCCATTTTGGGTCTGCTTGTGAACCCTCATTTCATATTGATCATTTTGAGGGGAACCAGAGAATGGCCTCTTCACTTAGTCATTAGGTGTTAGATCAAGTTTGTAAGAACAGTCTCCCAAATCTGGCCTAATACATGTTTAATTGTATGATTAATCACCAAAATCATCTTTTTTTTTCTATTTGCAGGGGAGCAAAAACTAAAGTCAGCACCATGTCCAGACGCAGGTATGCGAGTGTACAACAGTTGTGTAACACTTTACTGGTGACATAGTTTGACACATTTATTTGATTGTACTTAAAATAATTTAACAGAATTTACATGTGAGCTGGTGATTATTAAATCTTTTCTAGCCCAAACATCCTACAATATGCAATTATGTTCTGTAGCATTTCCTTTTTCTATCAAAATTGATTTTATTGTGGTTAGAGGATGCTTATTGTGTGTTAGTAATAATAATTGATATTTGTGTTCAGTGGTCGTATCACTCTTCAAGCCAGAGATTCAAACACACCTGAGCCAACAGTCAGAATCCCACTAAAGAAAAGAAAGACAGAGGTTTGTTTTATTTTTAGTTTGTGTTTGTTTCTTTAGTCGTGACATCATGTTGTAGCAGTTTGACAATTACCCCTTTTCCCCCACAGCTCTCAAAGAAGAATCTCCAACCTGCTGCCAAGAAGCAAAGCTATGAAATACAGGTGTGTGTGTGTTCGTGTGTGTGATAAGTACTCTAGTACATACTATGTATTTTGATGGCCCACCCTTCTATTTAATAAGTCAGTTTTAATGTTTATTTTTAATAAACTTATACTTTATTACAATGTTTCTAATTATAAGATTTCCATTTTGAAGGTTTAAAAAAATGTTTTACTACTCAGATATGGTCAGTCTAAAGAGATGCACTTGAGGATTATCATAAGTTATGTAGTACCGATTTGTCAACAGTAGGTGTCGCTGTTTATGTAGAGTAAAAGCCTATTTTCAGAAAACTACTTAAGTTTTATGCAAACTATTTTGAATATTCCTATATCTGGTTAAAAAACAACTCCAAATATTATTTTATAGAACATATCAATAACATTTTTATTTGAGACTTTTTAAGTTCATTTTGTTTCTGTTCTCCTAGAAGTGCTGGTTGGAGGATGGTGCGAGTCCATGTGTCCTCATTGAAACGCCTCACAAAGAGCTGGAGCCTTCAGACCCGTCTAGTTTCAAACAGTACCGATTCAAGAACCTCTTCATCAAGGCCTCCCCTATCCCCTGCCTCAGGTAAGACCAGATTTTACACGTCAATGACGCCATCATGCCTTTTCACTCCACGGTGAAATGGTCCTTTGTCCCCTGGCTGACACTCCGCCCACACATGCATTCAAAGTTTACAGCTTTTGTTTACTTAATAGTTTAGCAGAATGTGTGATTTGATCAAGTTTCAGTGTTTCCCCTCTCGGCAGGCGAGTCGTGGGTTGTGTAATGTGTTTAGGTTTTGCCTCTGGACCAGTGAGCTGAAGCAAGTCTCCACATTTAGGTCGGCACATGTTAATAACGAGCTTTTGTGTCGCAGCTGGGCAAGTTCCGACGATGTGTGGATTAAAATGCTGAATAAGGAGCTGAAGTACGTTCATGACAAGAGTTACCTGCAGCGACACCCCAAACTGCAGCCCAAGATGAGGGCGATCCTGTTGGACTGGCTTCTAGAGGTGAGTCGTGGAGCTGGGCTGAATACAGCGTTACTCTGATGTCGTCTTGAGTGCCGTTTTGTTTCTCCGTGCAGGTGAGTGAGGTGTACAGCCTCCACAGACAGACGGCGTACTTGGCTCAGGACTACTTTGATCGCTACATGCTGACTCAGGAGAACGTCAGCAAAGACCTCCTGCAACTCATCGGCATCACAGCTCTGTTCATCGCCTCCAAGATCGAGGTGAGTCCCACCTTTGTGCACTTTTAGTTCCAACTGTTACTTTAATACTGAATTAATATAAGTTTTGTTTTTCTTTTCCAGGAAATCTATCCCCCGAAGATCTACGAGTTTGCCTACGTCACAGACGGAGCGTGTGACATGTGGGACATCCAGCGCACAGAGCTGCAGATATTGAAGGTGCGTGATTCGTTCTCACCTGTGTGTTTGGTAACAGTCGTTCTGGTGTTGACTGGATTGTAATCTCAGACGTTAGACTGGAACTTGTGCCCGGAGACCCCCATCTCCTGGTTGAAGTTGTACGCTCAAGTAGAAGCTCAAAAAGATGGTGAGAACTTCCTGGAGCCTCAGTTCTGTCAGGAGACCTACATCCAGATCACGCAGGTACGTTCAGCGCTCTAACTAGTTTTTTTTTTTTTTTTAAGGGTTTGTGAAGTCATTTGTGCTGATTGTTGTTTTATTACAGCTGCTGGATTTGTGTATGATGGACATCAGCTCGTTGGACTACAGCTACAGTGTTCTCGCTGCCGCCGCCTTCTGCCACTTCTCTTCGTTTGACATTGTTCATAAAGTCTCAGGTGAGTACTTAAGCTTTTAAAAAGCTTCATTCAGTGACTCGTCTTTCCTGTTTCACCAGTCCTTTATGTCTGTTGGCTTGTTCAGATAAGAGGTTAAACTTGTATTAATGATTATTCTGCAGGCCTGACTTTGGACAGCGTGGTTTCTTGTTATCGGTGGATGAGTCCCTTCATGGAGACGCTGCGTTCTGAAGCCAAGCCTCAACTCAAGAACTTCTCTAAAGTCAAATCTGACGATCGACACAACATCCAGACACACGTGGCCTATCTGGAGCTGCTGGTGAGAAAAACTTTTGTTTATATAAATGATGTAAAGTTTGCATCATTTAAACGTGTGTGTGTGTGTGTGTGTGTGTGTAATTCAAACTTTTTTTTTTTTCATGCAGAGAAAAGTCCAAGAGCATCAGGCTGACACTTCAGATTGTCAGTGGTCACCTGTTGCCGTGGCAACAGTCCTAACTCCACCCAGCAGCGCAGAGAAATTTGCCAATCCCTGATGTGACGACGACCACCGTCAGGACGAGCTACCTCCCTGAAGCGACTGCCTATTCGCTGATCAGAAAAGTTTTTGTTTTTATGTTTTCGTAACACTAAGCTCTGATTTCTGACCAGACGGAGTAGTTTTCAGCTAATTGCTGCGTCAGGAAATCTGGTGTTTTCCTAGAAACCTCTCGGATCTCCAGAGCAACTCGGATGATATTTTTGATTTTCATGAAGTATTATTGCGGTCTGAATCAGCCGCGGCGGTCTAGATAGACTTGAAACTGGCTGGTGTCAGACCGAGACGCGGCGGTGAAGCTGGTGGGTTTTGTGCCTGTGAGAATTTACTGGTGCTTCTCTTATGCTGGGGCATGATGCTTCCAGACAGTGCTTCAGGAAATTGGGGGGGAGCCTGATTTAGTGTTTTTAAAACTTAAAATCCATCTTAAACGGGTGGAAATGGAAGCGTAATGTTTTTTCTTTTTACCTGAACTATACTCAGGCATGTTTCCTGTGTATCACCACCGAGTTAATAGACTTGCAAAGCATTTCATATCTACAGGAGCCACAGGTGTGTTTAAATTTTTTAAAATTTTGTTTTACCTGATCTGCTTGTGGCTGAATTCCATTTAATATTTTATTTTATTGTGTGTAACCGTGTTTAGAACTTGGTTGCAGCTTTTGTTCGTTACATTCCTGGGAAACTTGACAACTGCAGATTTTTACGCTTCCTTTTTAAGAGCTTGTATTTATTGATGAGCCTTAGTGTGTGTAAAGAAAGAAAGTGTGAAGTCGTTCTGACCGATCGCTCGCTGCCAAAGGCAAAGGGCTATTTATGATTTAGCTCCGTAACACCTGTTGCAATTCTGCATTAAATGTTGTATATTTGTATTTAGTGCCTTCCGTCTGTCGAGGGGAAACAAATAAACTGTACATGAATTTAATTTAAGCTGCAGCAAGCTGAAAGGTGGAAATTAAAACCTTGTGGCTGTAAACTTATGTAGTGAACCAACTGAGCTGTATATAAATGTGAATGAATGTACGATGTAAAATGAGCATTTCAGAAAGTCTAATTTTCTGCTATATTGCAATTTTTTTAAATGAATGATAAATATTTTCAGTCTAGTTTTTTCTTTGGTTGGTGCTTCAGGTTTGATGTTTTCAGTCTCCTAAAATCATCTGTTAAACTTTGTGAAGTGGTACGATGACAGGGTTTAAGCTTATTGTTCTAACAATGAGGAGGTAATCATGAGTTAACATATGACTTAAAGGAATGAAACGATTAAAAAAACGAAATATTAGGAGCAAAAAAAGCTGAAAATATTTATATCAATTTTTTTCAAATTAGCATCTCATTTCTGTCTGGAAACGTTAGAATTAAATTAAGCCAATAAAAAAAAAGTTAGACGTTAATGTGCAGTTGCAAACCTGACCACATGATGGCAGTGTTTAGCCGCTGCAGTAACCTTTACTCACTGCAAAACAAATACAGTTTTTACGGGTCTGCAACCTGGGACCACAAATGACTTTGGATAGAAACTAACAGAACTAAATTAGGATTTTAAATATAGATGCAATAAAAAAATTAAGCAGCTTTTTAGTGTTTTTTTAAATGGAATAATTGCATTTGATTTATACAACAGTGACACTAAAAATACCAGTAATAACTTTAGGTCTGTTTAAGTTTTATTTATTCTCTTCCACATATGTAGCATCCCATAGACAAATATATCTTTATGTTCTTTAAGTTTTTATTTTCATTTAAAGACAGAAGGAAAATGGTGGTTTATTTTCTTTTTTCAACTAATATTTTAAAGTAGATATTTATGGAAAATGAATGGGAAAAAAGACTTCTGATTTTCATCTAATAAAATCTCACATAATTCTCAGAAAGAGACAAATAATTAAATAGCCCATCTTCCATAGGTATTAAGAATTATAGCCTCTTTTCAAAACATCCTGTGCTATTTGTGTCAAAAAATGTTTTATTTTGGAGGACTTTTTCATGCAGGCTGAACATTAATAGTCTCCTACAGCTATCTCCTGCATTAGCCTCTGATAGGAAATAGACTGTGAAACTTTAGGACTTGAAAAGCCTGACAGATCTACGTCACACTGTCACTTAATATTCATGGACTCACCCATCTTGGCTCACGGCGGGGAAGCCTGTTGGTGGTTTAGCATTCAGGAATCATCAGAAAACGTCTTGGCTACTAGATGCTAACTGTTAGCATTAGCATCTCAACCACACAGCAGAAGCTTCGAGTTATTTGTGGGGATTAACCAACCACTTCACAAAGCAAATGGATTAAGTGGCAGAGTTGCTTTGCTGATATCCAATCTCAGGCAACATGTCCAAAAATCAGGAAATAAGACTCCAAATCTCGCTGTCTTGTGCCACTCTGCTGCAGCAGACTTGTCCCTGCTGATCAAGGTGTATGGCTTGCAAGGCGTTCATCCCTACCAGAGACCACTGCAAATGGGTAACACTTTACAATAAGGTACGCAAAGCTGTGCTTTGTTACTAGGGAACGACTTAGGGGGTAATGAGTAATGAAGAAGAAAAGAATAGGTAGTTAACCAGTACTTACTGGTAAACATCCAGCAGTCTTTTTCAGGGAATAATAGGTAGCTTTCTATGAAAGCAATAAGGAATGAATCCCAGATGAATGTAGTGCCTGTAGACTCTTTTGTCAACTTCATGAAGGATGCAGATAATTAGCAACATCACAGTGATTTAACATCCCTGTTTCATCTTGATTTCACTCATCTGTCACTTCATCTTCCATCGTAGGCATCCGTCCGTCTCGAGATGATGGGAGGTGAAGGCTCCTTCCAAGTACCTACTCAGGAACTAATCTATAGGTACTTAACCATTACTTTTATGTTGTTACACGGCCATAATAACATTGAGCTTATTCACACATCATTTCTTTCATCTTGTTTGGTAATATTCCAGAGATGGGTGACCAAAATCCTGCAGGTTACAGTGTCACCTGGCTCAAATCAATCACTAACAAAATGTTCATTGTTTAAGGTAAGGTACTTTTTTTTTTAAATAATCAGAAAAGTATGCAAAAATTAACTTTTAAATAAACATGTAAAAAAATTCTTAGACTACATATTTTTCCTGCATCATTACTCATTACCCTCTAAGTTGTTCCGTAGTAACGAAGCACAATTTTGCGTACCTTATTGTAAAGTGTTACCCTGCAATTGTGTTGATTAAATGAGTTTTTTACACTTTTACAGTTTTGCACCCAACCAGAGGGCCAGTTTCTGATGAAAGTACTAAACCTGTTACAGACTTACAACTCCAAAAAATGTGATGATCAAAAACGATGTGCTTTTTAAAACATCCTGCTATATACAGCTTTGAACTTTGAAATGAGCCAAACTGCACAATTATTGTTTAGATCCAAACAAAAAGCTAAAAAGAAAAAAATCAAACTTCTGGGAAAAGACTTTTTATTAATTAAAAGTTGCATACAAAAGGGTTTACCCATAATCGGCAGCTATAAAATGTTTTTCATGTACAGCATACTTTACAGATCGTCAGCACAAACGAAACTTTAAAACCTACAGGACAACAAATGTGTTTAAATGAAAACAAAAACAAAAAAAAAAAACACATCGACACTCATTGTACGCTGCTTTAAAAGCACTGGATTTACACCAGATGTCACCGAATACGCTGTGCAGGCCAGAAGTCACGCAACATCTGCTTCACATCAGTTTAGAAAAGGACACCTGTATTATTCTGCGTGGATGCATAGCTGTGAGCGCAGTTCTTTCAGGGCTCAATACAGGATTTGTTTTTTCTTCAGGCACCAGAAGAAAATAAAAATCTGTTCATTCATCTAAAAGAAAAACATTAGACTGATTTCAACTGAAGTTAATGCTCTGTATGTGTGTCTGGGAAAGAACTGGAATGCAGTCTGCATTACCAATTTAATGATGATTGACTTGTCATTAAAAGCTGTTATTAGGAGTTTTTCTTTTAATATGATTGTACTTTTGCTTTTTCAGATACCTGTTGTCTTCTAGGCCTCTCCATATAAATCTACATTCATCAGGCAGAGTGACAAAAAATTATGCTTGGCTGAAAGGCATACGGGGAAACAAAAGAAGAAATAAACCACTGTCCCTCATTTTAATATATATATATAAAAAATATAAATAAGAAGAAAAAGAACGGCTGCTTTGTTGCGGTCACTGATCCAACTTACTCGTCTTATTCTTTATCTCACCTTCAGGGAGACGCTTGGATATTTACTGTCCCATAAAGCAGCCTGCTTTAATGCAGCTAAAACAAATGGCTACTGCCTTGATTAAACAAGTAATTTACAGAAGCTGAGTCATGAAAAAGCTGTTAGGAGACCACCAGGTGTCTTGTTTAACACGAATACCGACAGGCAGGTAGTGGGAAAAAAACAGAACAATTTTACTGTGATCAGGCTCTGTCAGCGTGCATAGACACACTTTATGAGTTAAAATAATTAAAATGGTTGCTTTTTATGTTTTTAAATGAACTAAAGTAGTTTTTTGAGTCAATGTCTAGAAACAAGATTAAAGTATCTCAAATGCATTTAGATCCTTAAAGCTGGGTTACGTAGCTGGTGTAAAATGTTTAAAGTAACGTCAAAGATGTTTACATCTGACTATCTGACCCTGTTCTGCTATTTAAAGTCTAGAGAGTTGACCACTGAATTTACAGAGGCTCAAGAGGAGCTGTCGGGCAAAAACAATACTCCCTATTCCCAAAATGCACTACGGGGAGACACAGGCAGTTCAGTCAGCTTAGCACACCAAGCTAGCTTCAACGCTAACTCAACCTAAATTGAATTACTGTCAGTCTGTAAACCTCAAGCTAACTGTTGGAAGGGAACAAAAATGGATTTATCTTTTGTGTGTTTGAGCTAAATAATTAATGTAGCGTTCAACTTTAGGTCAGACTATTGCTTTAGCATGTAGTAGCGTTAGCAGCATAGACATGAATATGTAGACGCACCATTGGGCATGATCATCATCTACTCGTTGGAGGAGTAAGTTGGAGGGTATAACACCATCGTCGCCATATTAGGTGGGTTTCTCACTCTCCGAACCATAGACTGTACATACTGGACAAACGGATTCCATAGGCTCCAATAACGCATTTTTTGTCCATAATGGGAGGTGGCCACCACCGCCATTTTGACCGTGTCACAGGTTCCGTCCAGCCCAGACAATTCTATAAAAGGGAAGAGAGGAGGCGCTGAGGGTGGGGCTGCGAACCCAGCCTATGGTTGCAACAACAGGCGCATTATTGAAAACAGATCATGTGGGATTACTATTGACTTTTCTAGCCTACCTGTTGAGATTTTATATTTTAAATTATTTCTTTCAAATATCTTTATATTTTAATCATCATGCCACACCACATAGCTGTCTAATAAAATGTTTTTATTTGGGTAAACACCTTCCACCGTAGAAATGGGGACCCATCCAAGATGGCGTCTGTGATTAGCAGGGGTGTGCTAGCACCACGAGTGTCAGATTCCTGCTTGTTGTAGATGTGTCCCTGCTTGAACGCTGCAGATTTGATTAAAACGAGTAATCAGCAGAACCTGAGAAAAGCTGAGGAGATAATTCAGCATTTAGAATCAGGTGTCTGAGCAGGGACATACTGAAATTGTTACTTTTCAGCTAGCGCTACAAGGCTACTTGCGTTTTGTGCACGGTAAAAGACGTGGCTTTCAGCTCCTCCCAGAAAGGGAGGAGCTACAGGGGTGGAACTTACAGCCATTCCGAATTCAAAATCTCCTCCTGATGACGTCACTCTATGGACTCTAGCTTTAAAACTTATTTAAATGCAGCTTGTTGCTTTTTCAACCATCTATTTCCTGAGGAAATGTCACATGATCTTTGTGAAGCTTCTTGATTGGATGGATGTCGCACAGCATTCTGCTTTTGTTCAGTACGGAATTACCGCTTTGAATCTGAATGTAACCTTTACATTTAGAAAATAAAAGAAAATATTCAGTCTTGTAAACAATTGAAATACCATATATTATTCATGTTTGGGAATTTGTTGTTGTTTTTTGAGTACGTGTACCATAATTATAGGAGGAAAGGTGAGTCAGTAAGCTTGGACAAATAGACCTGCTTCTGTTAAAAAGTGAAATATTTAAATAAAAAAAAAATTGGTCCCACTAAAGAAATATAAATCTTTACAAAAGAAAATGCTGCCGTCTGGCTGCTAAACGTGCATCAAGTTCAACTGAAAGCTGTAAAATCTCACACCTATGTGGAGGTGCTTCTGTTCATTTTCCAGCAGCCTTTAACAAATTAAAATACAGGTAACAGATGAACATATTGGTAAAAACAAAATAGAAACAGTCAGTGACACAAACATCATGTTAACAGCACGTAGAAAAATAATCTCTTATTTTGAAAAGCTGAGGTGAAAACAGCATTCCACCCAATGAGCTCACAAAGGATTTTGTTTTCTAAATCGGGTCTTGCATCCAGAATAAAGGATCGTTTTGTAGTGCAATAGAAAGATACAAATAGGAATTAAAAGCTGGTCTTTAGGTATTAAACGTTAACCTAAAACATTTTGACTGCACAGAACTGAACATTTATTTAGTGAGGAAAGAAAACTGCAAAATAAAGTGCTGTACTTGGGAGGATTTTTCAGTGGAGGGGGTTGATTTTCTAATTGAGCTGCAAAGATGAGATGAAATTCAAACCGTCTGCGTAGAAAACCCCCCCCCAAACTTTGATAAAAATGTTCTTTAAGGAGAACTTTGAGTCTTCTTCAAGGCCCTAATGCTGTCTGAGATTTCAAGCACACCAGAATAATTCTTCCACACCAAAGCTCCACTCACCCTGAATGCTTTCACATAATTTAATGGAACGTTTTCTGCTGAAAAACATAATCTTTCGACCTCGAAAGTTCGTTTTTGCACGAGCGGAGCCCACAAACTGCTAAAAAATTGAATAGCTTCAGCACAAAGAGCTGCTTTTAAAGGAAAGAAATAAAAGAAGAAATAATCTTGGGTGGCATATTACTTTGTAAAGATGTTAAATGAACCAGAAACAAGTTCTTTGTGCTTTTTTTCCTCTTTCAGTTTCCGAAAACCGACCTGTCTCCAACAAACAGAAACAAGAGGACAACGCGACGATCCTCCGACCCTGAAAGTCTTTGAATTATTGTGAGCATGTGAGAGACGAGCTGCTGCATTCACATGTCTGATTAAAAGAGCTTTAGAAGTAAGACTTCACGTAAAAAACTGACCTAGATGAGCATCTTTGACATTTAGCTATTTTAAATGTTCTTTAATCTGGTTTATTATTTACTCCTCAATGCAACTTGTTGGACTTATTAGTCAGTAACCAATCTTTTGAAAACAGAGGTGTTTATTTTATGTTTAATTTAACATTTGTTGCACCACCATGATCGTTTTTAATACAATTAATATTTAAATTTACATGATAATTGGTATTTGTGTCAGTCTTCTCAATTATTCATGTAAGAAACTATGATTTATCAAACTCTCTCCAGCTTTCTTTGCTTTCCGTCGTCTCTGTTCTTTATCCCATAGAACTTTTTAGGGCCGGGCGATGTGGAGAAAATTCCCATCACGATATTAATCTTCATATCAATCGATATCGGTCTATATCACGATAAATCATTGTATCGCCCAGCCCTAGAACTTTTCATATAAAATAATTTTAGGACCAGCAGGTGATTTTCATATGGCTTACAAACATTCTAGTCAAATTTGCACAGGTGTGGTGTGAATGCAGCACCCTTGTTCACATTGTGGGTGATCAGTGCTCTGTGGCTCCCCCTAGTGGTGCTTTGGCAGTGGGTGGGTCATGGCTCTGACTACTCTGTATGTAGGCTATTGCGTCCCCGTATGTGAGGGCCAGCTGGGGCCGGTCATACATCTCACTCAGAGCCTGGAACTTTGGGCCCCATCGTGACAACCTGTCATAAACAAAACCTCCTTCATCATCTTCGTCGTCCTCCTCGCCTGGAGGGATTTTTCTACAGGACACTGCAGACCCCAGGGAGCTGAGGCTTCCAGCTGAGGACCCAGAGCCCTCACTGCACCAGACGTGGTAGGCGTCGGGCGGGAACGCATCGATGTCATTGTCTGCTTCCCAAATGATTCGCGCCACGTAGCTTTTGAAGTCCACATGGGAGCGAGACCCAGCCGGGGCGTCCACATAGCTGCCCGTGTCACTCGCCTCTGTGTCTCTACCTGTGTGAGAGGTGTGGTTGGCGTAGGGGGCGCCGCTGTTGTAGTTGGGGCTGACTGGGTGCTGATGGTGGTGGTGGTGGTGATGAGGGATGCTGAGGTAGGGAGCACCCGAGCTACAAGAGGAGCTGGACGGATGAACTTCTTCCTGGGAGCCTGGTGAGGATTTGATGAGCGGGGCGGTGGTGCAGGAGGAGGACTGGGACAAACTGGAGCACAAGGGACGCTTCAGCTCTGTGATGTCATAACCGTTCTGAAGGAACAGAAGGACAAAAACACAAGAACTCAATAAATAACATATCTGGATTGAATGTTTCATTTGTATTTGGAGGTAAATAAGTAATGAGCTAACTGCTCGTCTAAAATTGGAGGTGGAACCCTTAAAAGTACAAATTTTAAGGCAATGACGAAATGTGAAAAGTTGAAGGCAACTCAAAATGCGAGTTTCAAAGACAACTCTTGCACTTAGTGCACTTGTGTAGGTGGTGTGATGGAGTGAGTTCAGGTCACTTGGAAAATAAAAATTAATGTCATTTTAAAAGAATATGGACTTGGGGTTTTGTGTGTGTGTGTGTGTGCTTGTATTTGTACCCTTGTGAAGACTGGATTTGGGATATTTACTAACCTTCTTATGACCGATGGTCCTTGTTAGGACCAAAACACGTTCCTAACACGGAGTACTCCCTAGGGGTGGGATTTACAGATAAGATGTGAATTGAGTTTTTGTTACAGATAACTTTAGGAATGTACTGGTTAGGGTTAGGGTTTGGCATAGTGGACTCACTAAAATGAATGGAAAACAATACCTAACATGGGTACAAATACAAGAATGTGTGTGTGTGTGTGCGTGTGTGTGTGTGTGTGTGTGTGTGCGTGTGTGTGTGTGGACCTGGTCTTGCTCCCCTCCTCCTTCCTCGTTATAGTTGAGGATGTTTTCTCGGATGTCCTCCCAGCTCTCGTGCTCAGCAGGAATATGATAAACTCCCCGTTTCCTGAATTTGTTTCGGCTTCCTTTCTGGTTCCAAACTGTCACTGCCACTAACACAACTACACACACGCACACGCACACATGCACGCACGCACGCACGCACGCACGCACGCACACACACACACACACACACACACACACACACACACACACACAGAAGGGAGCACAGTGTAACTATGCATCTTTTCATTAATGTGTTTCTGCACTATTCCAGATCGGACGATAATTCTCCACCGTGGACGTTTGAAGCTGCTCAGTGGAACCATTTCCTCTCATAAATCAGCCACGTGTTTATTAAGGAGCAGGATTATGAAGATACAACGAGCCTCCAGTTGGAGGAGTGTCAGCATCTGTGCTGTTTTTCATATTTAGAGTTGCTTTGCTACTGAGGGACGTGAACTTCCATTGTTAGACTGAGCCGCTGATTAAGATCCGTCAATGTTTACCAAACTCATTTCTCCCGATGACATCACGCTGCTGGCTCTATTGATCTGGAAACTGTGACACTAGTTGGAACAAAGGTTTTTATTGATAGAATGTGTCTTTTTTTTTTTTACTTTTTGAAGCACAAGTTCATCAGTTGACCTCTTCCAGATTGTGTAAATTCACGTGACAATTCACGTGTGTAGGTGCTTACCGATGAAGACTAGCAGACACATGCTGATGGCAAGGATGGAGCTGGCACTGAGGGCAGTTAACCGGTGACCTTTGACCTGTCCTAGTTCACAGCGTTGACCCCTGAAACCCTCTTGACACTGACACTGATAACTGTCGGGTGAAAGCGCCTGGCACACGCCGCCGTTACGGCAAGAGGATGGTCCGCAGGGCGACGGCACACACCGGTGCTGGCCGGCGTCGCTTGTCACCGTCACCTGAGTGCCAGGACACCTGGGATGAGAGGGAGACCAGGAAAGATGACGGGATGACTTGACAGAATCTTATTTTTTTAATCAGTGACAGCTGCGTTATTTACTTGCACTGGTGTTTCCTCCACAGGTCGATGCAGCGCATCGGGCTGCGGCACGGCTGGCTGCTACAGGCGTCACTCGAGCAGCCGGAGGTAACTCCTCGCCTCTCCAGGATCGTCACCAAATCTCGACTCTGCCCGTCCAACGGGAGGACGTGACCATTAAAACGGACGTCCCGCAGACATCCTGCAGGAGAAGAAGTCCCGGTTAGTTACGAGTCCTGATTTTTCTACAGATTCTGTTGACAATCCGTCTACGGTGACTCAAGGGGCAGCATCTCTCTGATGTTTGGGTCTGATTTAAAGTAGCTGAACAATGTCAGGTTGTTTCTTTCAAAAATTTAACCACACGGATTCCACAAAATCTAGAGTCAGTTGTATTAAACATAAAGTATTCATGCCTAAATAAACACTCCTGATCCAGATCTCACCCTGAAAGTCGGCCTCTCCAGAGTTTGGTCGGTTTCCAACCATCAGACTCGCTGGATGAACCACCAGCTCCCTGCGGCTCCCCAGCTGAGCCTGCACCTCCCGCGAGCCGCCTCCCTGCTCCAGTCGTAGGGTGAACATGTTGTCATGGCGACTGAGGCTGACCAGGACCCACTGCCCGACGTCCACTCGGTGACCGGAGAGTCGCAGGGAGTGAGAGCCGTCGCCCAGGTTGGCACGGGCCGAGATGTGACCCTCAATGATCTGACAGAGAAAATGGAATATTTGTTCAAATGCAACATTGGAGCAGGTCATGAGATGAAACATTAGTGACGATGGACTGACCTCTAGGATAATGTACTCGTTGACATCCCGGGAAGCTACTGAGAGCAGGACCCCAGACGTGGATCTAGTCCGGAGGAGCAGCTGGATGTTGGTGCGTCTGGAGCTGCTGCCTCCTCTGAGCTGAAAACGAACCGCGCTGTTTGAGTCGAAGGAGAACTCCGGGACGGCTGAAGGGTGAGGAGGGGACAGAAGTTCAAACGGTGTCTCACAGCGATGTCCAACAGCAGTAAGTCAGAAGAGTCCCTCACCTTTATCACACTTGTGTCCAGTAAATCCTGGACGGCACTCGCAGCTGAAGGAGCCCCAGTCGGCGAGGCAGGAGCCGTGAACGCCACACGAAGGGCCGGCCATCGTCACACACACTCCATCTGTTAACCTGCAACCTGGCATGCTGTCCACGCTCTCACCTGGAGACGCCAGATCGTAAACCTGAAGGACAAACAAAAACAGAAAAATGTTTTCCTTTAATTTATTTTAATCAGTTTTAATCACCGCAAAGTTCCTCCACATTTTTTAAAATAAAAAAAATAACCCAAATAAAACATAATATTTGCTGGTTCCATGCTGCGCTCACAGCTTGAGATTAATGCTTCATATTTCCTTTTAATTCCGCTGTTTTCATCCCTCGAGTCCGAAATGCAATAAGGCTCGATTCGACATGCACTAAATTTCCACTCAAGCCCATTGTTTCAGCTGGCAGGCACACTGTGGCTGCATTTTGTAGTGCATCAGTCACATTAACACATAAATGTGCTCAATTCCTCTGATCCAAATTGGGAAATCAGCTTCAATTACACAGCAAAGCCTGTTAAGAAGAGGGAGAGCAGTATAAGCGACTCTGTTTTGTCACCAAAGCTCGGCTGATGAACTTTTACAATAAAAGTTCCTCCAATAAGGAGCAGATTTTACAGATCTTAAGGTTTTTGATCCAGGAAGAAAAAAAAATCACCACAAACTATAAACAATCACACGATGCACTAATTTGGACACATTTTTGTTATAACTCACTGTTCTACAAAAAACCCATAAAAGTTTTAGTAGAAGGCATAAAATGTAAATGTAGATATTTCTCTAAAAGACTTAAAGGTGCAATGTGGAAGAATTAAGTAAAAATTACATCATGTGGTCAAATTTGGGTACTGCAGTACATTTTTATATAAAAAGATGACTTTCTCACTCCCGTGCCGTAAGTTTCATGGCTGTTGCAAGTTATGGATCAGCGACAGAAGGTTCTAGATCACAAGCAAAGACGAGTCATACACAGTAAGCTAATAAGTAAATAAATACATTGTCATATCTGGTGTTTTATGGTAGGGGGCACTTATTACGGTAATATGCCTCTGGCATTACAGGAAGTGCAGTTTGCCGTCTTGCTGTTAGCTTGTTGTTCTAGTTCTGAATGACTCATTAAAGGAAGTAAAACACCACAACTGACTCATTATTCGCTTCACACACACACCACTGTAAAATCGAGTTGCTGGTAACCGTAAAAGTAGCTTGGGATATTTTTAGAGCTGACTATATGCTTCTAATGAGCTGTTAGCATTGTTAGCTCATTGTTAGCCCTAGCCTATTTTAACCAATATTAGAGAAAAACAAAAAGGTGCAGTGGTTTCTTAGGGGTACACTGGATTCGGTTCTTTTAACATTTCTGGAGCTTTTTCTCTGCTAGTGTCAAAAAAAAAAATGCCAGCACTGCTGCGTTAGTCCGACTTGAACTCAGAGACCATTTGACCATTTTGAAAGGAATTTGTTTCAATATAACTTTCCTTCCAACATGACGGAGACATTAGACTGTTTTGGGTTTATTTTTATTGTAAAATCCTTGCATATTCCTCTTTAAACTGCAGTGATTTCTAAGTGAATTCATCTGTTCTTCGTGATCCAACCTTTACTTAAAACATCCACCCTGGGTTTTAAGTCTAAATATGTGAAATCTCACAGTAAAAACCAAATAGGACCCTAAATCTGTTTATCATCTGACGATTCTAATTAAATTTTAATCAAACAAAATTGCTGCTTTGGATCACGTTTATGAGAACACTCCTTCATTCATCATCCGTGACCTTTAATTAAAGACATCTAATTCTGCTCGCCGGATGGATTCCCACTCCCTCCCCTCTGGATTGGAGAAAAGGGAGGTATTATTTAATAGGAATGAATTATTAATTTGATCACATTTAACTATCATGTGGCAAGGCTCTCTGATTAGTTTCATTACAATTATGTTGTTTTAATTATCTATGAGGAAAAAAAGGACCTGTCATCCTTTTTTTCATATTTTAATGTATAAAACACAAACCAGACGTAAAAATAGAAAAAAGTGAAATTTTCTTCACTTTACTGTATTATAGATTTATGAAATAAATGTCCTAAAGGCTAAACTTTCTTTATTTCATCATGCAAACATCACTCCACACCAAACAATGCCTGCAGGGTTTGTGCTGATGCTAAAACAATAAACTTCTATATTTTTTCCAGCTTGGCACAGCCTGGACTCTTTCTTGGGGGAATATTTTGGAATCACAGGGAGGTTTCTGAGGCTCGGCAGCAGCTTGCTGAGTTTCTGGAGGATAAGGAAGGATGCGGGAACTTCTCTTAATTTTTTATTACACTTTGGACCAGGATGTTGCTATATTGGCTTTGGCTAATGAGCCAAGCTCAGACCACCATCTGTCCGACCTCCACCCCCATGCCACACGGGTACACACACACGCGCACACACACACACACACACACACACACACACACACACACACACACACACACACACACACACACACACACACACACACACACACACACACACACACACACACACTAATGATACACACCAACAAGTACTACCCACTGAGGACTTGGCGAGGGGTGAATTCATGCATGTACAAACAGATAGATGCAGGCCTATAGACACTGGAACACACACAGGAAATGCTAATGATCTCAGAGTTGTGTTGCCTTCTCTTCAGCTGGTTTTATTCAGTTACATTCATCATGAGAAGACAAACCCAAAAAGTTTACTTTTAACACTTTCCTGCATAAATTTGAGGTTATTTAACCCTTAAACTGAACAAGGCACATTATTTACAGCATGATGTTACCTGACTGTCAACAATGAGGTTCCGGATGCATCCGGTGAAACTTCGGTACCGTCGGTAAGGAGTCATTTCCTTCGCTCCGCCCAGCTGAAGAGGCTGGAATACATTTAGATACCTGAAGAAGAGAGAGAGCAGACAATGTGAAGACGAATGAAAATAAATCAAGTATGGGTCGGGATTTACTCTCCATAGATTCTGCCCCACGACTGAGTTGTGTCTATGAGTCGTGGCCAGCCTATTCATATAGGATGGCTTGCCTGGCTAGGTCTCTACAGCCTCTGTAAACACTCCCAAGTGTGGGGGGAAAAAAACGATTCCATGTATTTTCTGTCACTGCTCGGTTGTAGGAATTGTATGCCTAAAACAAGCCGTTTCAAAAAATCCCCGTTTATGACATCACAAAGCTGCTGCTGACAAATATCATAGCTTCTCAGCTTATAGCAGCCTGAGGAGAGGGTGGGTGGGTGTGGCCAGCTCCAGTTTGATTTTATGACGAATCCCTGAAATGGCTCATTCTGGAAGGTACTGATATTGTCAAACATAAAACAGCTGAAATCTCTTTGTGTGAGAGGGATTTGGTGCAAAGAACTTCAAGAAAATGTTCTGTATCAATCATGTTACAATGATAAAAAGTCATAATACATCCCCTATAACTTCATACATGATTGCTAATAGGATATTTAGCCTTAAATGTGACAGATAAACACAAGAGCTACAAAAGGATGAAACTAATTCAATAGTTGACACATTTATTTGTAAAATGGCTTATAAGCAATGTTGGTACCCTGAGCCTGGCAATAGTTGATGTTATGTCTGGGGTTTTTGTTTTGAGGCCCTGAAGTTGAAAAGTTTGTGAACCCCTGCTGCTGCCGATACTACATGCTCTCTGCTTTGGCAGGTCATCCACACATCCAATTATTCATGCTCACATCACCCCTAAAGAACAGCAGCAGTGTCCAACATCTGTGTTTGTGCGATTACCTCTGGTTCCCAGGTGTCTCTCCTGCAGCTCTGCAGCCAGATTCATCGATCTCTCTGGCATCTGCTCCAGCACCTTCCAGCTCATTCAGTGCCACCCCTGCACACTGGTCCAGGATCAGCTGGACAATCTACAAACACAATGATCATAATAAAATTGAATAAAACTCAAATAGAATCATTTATTATTACTAATTCATGATACACCTGAAAAAGAGATGCATGGACTGCTGAGGGAACGTTAGAGGTGACTTTTAATTGTAATGGGCTCGACACACGGGAGGCGATCCGCGGCAGCGGCCAGTGGCAAAGCCGTCTACGCGTTCTGTTCCATGGCGAAATCGAAACTTCCGTTGTTTTGCTTGGCTGTGTCAGGTTGGAGGGAATTAAGGTTATTTAAGCGGTTCAGAGTTAATAAAGCGGTAGATATGATGTTTCACAAGGTGCTGCTAGAGTTATGTGAAATCTTACTTCTGATTTTACTATATAAAACATAATAATAATAAACTTCTCCTTCATGTTTGCTCAGAGATGTACGGAGCATCCTGTCCGCTCATTGGTCAGTGAATGAAACCTCCGTTGATTGGTCCTCGTCTGAGCGACAGCGATGAAAAGTTGAAAATGTTTCAACTTTCTGGGATCGCGTCGCTGGGTCGCCTGTGCACGATACGTGCACAAGCTCAAAATTTCACACGCACGTTTTTTGCGTTTCGCTTGGTAGGAGGGAGACCCGCGATTATCGCTTTGTCGCGCATGTCTCACTGAAAATGAATGGGGGAGAGGCGATGTCGCCTCCCGTGTGTCGAGCCCATAACAGAGAGCTGGTGATTTTGGTACGGCAGAAATATTTGTGTTTTTTTAAGCGCTTGCTGCTCTTAAATGGATGAGCTGAAGTTGTTTTATGGGTTGTTTTGGGTGATTCTACAAATAGAATCCTACAGCAGTCGAATCTACTTGACGCATAAACCAGCACTTTAAAGTCAGTTTAAATTATAACTTCTTTTTAACTTCTGATTTATATTTTAGGCTATAAAAATAACTTATAAACTAGCAGAAAATTAAAAATCTCTATCCTGCCATGTACCCATTTATTCACCCATCAGACATCAGTTTTTCACCGTCTTACTTTTCCATCGCTGATGATATCAAGGCGATGCCAGCGTCGGTCATTGATGGTGGCTTTAGGTGGGAGCTGGAGGGTCAGTGTTCCAGATCCATGGTTTACACTCAGAACTGGAACCCCATTTCTCAACTCTGGAAGAAAAGAGATGCATTTCTCTTGTTTTAAGTTCTTTTGGATCTAAAATTAAAGGTACAATATGTAAGAATGAAGTAAAAATGACACCATGTGTTAAATTTTAAGTAATGCCGCCCATTTTGCGAAACAAAACGTTACTATACCACTGCCGTGATTTTCATGACTGTTGCCAGTTAGGGACGTGGTCGTGGATATAAGTTATTTAACACTAGAAAGTTCTAGATGACAAGCAAAGATGAGTTTTAAGCTGATAAATAGATAAATACATTGTCATACCTGGAGATAGCACTCTTCGGTGTTTTATGATAGGGAGCACTTACTAGGGATGAGCCGGATACTCGTTTCAGATGAGTATCCGGTACGGATAAAGCATTTTTGACGAGTACGTGCATGAAACGAGTAAAACTCTTAAATATCTGTAATCGTGCTGAAGGAAAATCCTCATTGGGTAACTGACTGTCTTCACGCTCTGTGATTGGCCAGTCACATAGAGCGCCCGCCCCTCCCTATGCACAAAACTGCAGCCGGCCGGGAGCGCAGTCCGTCCGGCTCATCGGCGCACACACACAGACCGTAACGGATCTCGCTGTGATTGCTTCACTGTTGCTCACGTTTGTTCAGTTTTCCCTAGGTTTTCTTCAGCTCACCTCTTTTTTGGTTGAATATTTAAAGTTACTTTTTTCGTAACTTACCTGGTGCATTGACAAGACAGAGCTGACGTGCTGCATCAGTCACGCACTACCTCCGCTCCGGTCGGGTTTTTAAAATTTTTTTTACTCCCTCTCTCTCCCTCCCACCCTCTCTATCTCTCTCAGACACACACACACACACACACTTCAATCCACATTGTTTTGTTTAACTTTGTGTGGGGCAAAATGCCAAGAACGTTAAGAAAAAATTAGTTTAATCAAATTAAAATTAAAAAATATATATAAAGTTGTGTCTGGTTCTAGTATTTCATATTTCCTAATTCCTACTGCATGAGTTCAGATGTATTAATCCATGCACTTAAATATTAATGTTCTGATTTTATTGAAACACTTGTTCTGTAATACTTCCTTTGCTATTGTGATCAAAATATTTAATCTCAATTCTGAGGCTGCTCTGTAAATAGTTTTCAAACAAACAATACACATAGCAACATCTGATCAATCCATATCAATTTCAGACTTAAAATAATATATTGATGTAAACCACACCCACTTCCGGTTAAATCACGCCCATTCCGAGTGCAGATACAGATACAGATAATTTAGTTGGTTGAACAGATACAGATAGTGGTGTACTCGCTCATCCCTAGCACTTACTAACACTTATTACGGTAATATGTCTCTGGCATTACAGGAAGTGTTCTTGTTTGCCATCTTGCTGTTAGCTCATAGTTCAGAACAACAACAAAGGAAGTAAAACACCACCATTGACTCATTATTAACTCCACACACACGTTTCACTGTGATATTGATTTGTTGGTTGAAAAAGTAGGTTGAGATATTTTTAGAGCAATTCACTGTTAGCGTTGTTAGCTCAACATTAGCCTTTAGCCTGCTTCACCTGATATTAGAGTAAAAAAAGATGCTGTGGCTTCTTAAGGGTACAAGAAATAACTTTTGGGTTGCTTCTGTTTTCTGGTTTCTGTTCTTTAAAAAATTCTGAAGCTTTTTGCCTGCCAGTGTCAAATTACAAATGCTGCAGCTGCAGACTCTGCCACCTCACACGCTCACAAATAGTGAACAGTCACCACATCCATCCTTTTATTAGCATTTTCTAAAAAGAGAAAAACTGGCGAGCCTCCAGTCAGCTGAGATTGAAATCTGCTTCAATGTACCATTCCTTCCAACATGACTGAAACCTAGACTGTTTTGTGATTATTTCACTGTAAAAATCTTACACATAGCTCCTTTAACACAAGGATGGTCAACATATTTAGATGAATGTGAAATAACATAGAAGCTCTGGCAACTACAGAAAGTAGTTGAATTCTCTTGTCTGACTCTAAATCACCTCTCTGTGCTCCTGCATCGCATCAAGAACTGCAGAACCAGCATCTGATGTGTTCATGGTCATGTGTGTGTGTGTGTGTGTGTGTGTGTGTGTGTGAGAGAGAGAGAGTGACCCGATCAACTCCACAATCACAAAATTGAACGTGTAAGGGAAATCCGGCTCAAAAGCATCAATAATTCTGTCAGCTTTGATTTTCCTTTCCCCAGATCCATGCAGCAACAAGCCCGCGTTCGATAATTACATAAATTTAACGCCACAAGATTACGCAAGAAGTGTTTGAAAGGCCATCGGCGGGCTAATCCATTAACACCACATAAGAACCGCTGGGAGCTGACATTAGAGTTTATAAAGCTTTTCCTCCACTGAGAAACCGTCTGTGCCGCAGCTGAAACTGTTCCTTTGGGATTGTGGGATAAAAGTCAAACAAAACTTGGGAATTAATAGGATGTTTGTGTTTTAATCTGCAGGAAAAGTCTTCAGTATTGCCTATTCATGATAATTAAATCTTACTGACGCTGGTTTAATGCACTCTGCTGTGGACTCACCCACAGCGATGAAGTCCTCCAGCTCTCCAGAGTGGACGAGGCCGAGCGGCCCGTTGTAGAGGAGCAGCCCGTTGGACGACTCGGCCAGGAACTCTAAGGAGATGTGGCTCTGGAAGCAAGGCCTGATGGGAGGGAACCAGGCGTAACCCTGGCCACCAAAGCTGTGCTTGGTCTGCTGGCACTCGGGCCCGTCAAACATGGGAGGACACTTACATCTGAGGGACAGGAAAAGTTTACTTTAAAATATTTAAAAATTGAATGACTATGGTTTTCATAGCAATCACATTTTTTATGGCAGATGGAAAACTAGTTAAGAGAAAAAAACAATCAGCAGAAAGATTTCATCTAAATTCTAAAACTGATAAATTCATGTGACATTTCAAAGCCGGCGACTGTCTGTGCAGCTAAAAGTGAAGCTTCAGAGTTTTACCACTGAGTCTGTTCTTCATCTTTAAAATGTTTGACAGATTTCACTTGGGTTGTTCAGTCAACAAGCAGGACATTTCTGGCAGCTTTAAATACATACCCACGATAATGGTTTGGGATGTGAGTTACAGCTCAGATACCCTATAGTGCAAAACTAAACAATTACTAAAAATAAATCATACTAAAACAGCCATTTTTTGCTATGTGCACATGCTGAAGGAAAAGCACGACTCTAATCCTAAAACTTCTTCCCTACACCTACCGGTATCCCAGCGGGCCATCCTGGCAGGTGCCCCCATTGAGGCAAGGGTTGAAGGGGTGAGCGGAGCAGGGCAGGTGGATCAACTCTCGGCCCTTGCAGCCACATTGCCTCGACAGAGAGGCCAACAGCGACACCAGAGAGGTGTTTCCAGAGCTGAGAGCCACTGGAACCTGGCTGAATGACACCTGACTGCTGCAGCCTCCATATTGACTGCAGTCTGTGTTTGGACAGTCGTCTACGCCCACCTGAGAGATGGACACACCCAACATGGCCTCTAGCTACACAGGGTGTGAGGAGAGAGGCAGATGAACAAATTAAATAATTAGTTTGATTTAATTATCTGTATTAGATCAAAGTAGCAAAAGGAAGCAGGATGGAGATAAAAACTAAATGCCCTTCAAACTCGTAGTCTTTGGGTTTTGTTGTGTTTATATGATTTATGTTTTATACAGGGCAGCTTATGCTTGCTTTTAGCACCCCCTAGTGTCCATTTGTAGAACCGAGAGCAAAATCTATCTCCGTTCATTTTTTAACACCTTAATCTAACTGCTGAAACGTCTCCAAGCCTTGGGATTCATCACTAAATTAAACAAATCTAAAACATGCAGCGAACATGTTGGAAGCAGACTGCAGCACCAGGCATGTCAGCTCCATTTTTTCTAAGTTCAACAGTTGGCGGCCCACCAGTCAGAAGTTGCAAATGTGGCATTCTGCCCACAGGAGGCGACAGGGGCTGGGTGGCTTCTAGGGCTGGGCGATATGGCTTAAAATCAATATCACGATATATTGAGGATTTCACCTCGATAACGATAAATGGACGATAACTACAGGTAGGCACAGAAACAAAAGTTGTCCACTAGATGGGGCTGTCACATGTATTATGCTGAGTCACATTTTTACGTGACTCAAGGTGGTACAGCTTCTTAAAGGGACATGAACGCTGCCAACCTACACACATCTTTTCATTTTTTTGTTATCAAATTTATTGACATGGGAAAAATTATCTCGATAAGTCACAAATTTCGATAACGATACATTTTCGATTCATTGCCCAGCCCTAGTGACTTCTCATTAACACTGTGAAGAGTCATTTTAGCACATGCAGGCTCTAGAAAATGATTTAAAAATATGAAAAAGTTGCAAAGGGCCTCTTTAATGCAACCGTTTACACACCACAGAAAATACCTCAATAGAAACATAAATATTTTAGTAGCAAAGTAAAAAATGCTGCAGATCAGCTGGATATGATGACCTCTACGCTCTGAAATAACCAGCAGAAGTTTTCTAGGTTTTATTTACATCTCTTTACACATTTATCCTATCAAATTAAGACAAAATACAGTTAAACTCTTAAATTTAAATCGGTAGTTCACTGAGATAATATTTCTGACTTGGTCACTGAGTTTTTCATACAGGCTGAACATGAAAATAGTCTCCTACACCTATCTCCTGCATTAGCTTCTGATAGAAAATAGACGGTCAAAATCTCAGATGTGAAAATCCTGACAGATCTACGTCACACTGTGAATACGCATTCATGGACTCGCCCATCTTGACTCGTGACGCGGAAGGTCGTTGTTGGTTTAGCATCCAGGAAACAACAGAGAATATCTCAAATAGTAAGCTAACTGTTCGCGTTAGCAACTCCACCACACAGCAGAACTCCTCCAGGCTTGTGTTATTTGTGGAGATAAAACATCCATGTTGCAGAGCGAACAGAGTCAGTGGTAGAGTTGCTTTGCTGTTATCCAATCAGAGGAGAGATGTCCAAATAACAGGAAATAAGACTCCAAATCCCGCCGTCTGAACCTCAGTTCTGATCTGGCTCACATCTAGTTCCTGAAACAGGTGTTCTGGAGCCCCCCCCCCCCCCCCCCCCCCCCCCCAGAGAGCAACTTACAAGGCATTCATTTCTACAAGAGACCCCAGCAAATGTATTAAAAATATGAGTGAAAGACCACATTAAGGTGAAATCTTCCTCCTCCATTTAGGAAATAAATGTTACCTGTTTGCTTTATTGGAAACCATATTTGTCTGTTTCTTGGTTTGTTTCTGCTTTTCTTTTGCATGCCAGCTTTTACAGTAAGTACATCAGTTTGGTAGATTAGATTACTGCTAAACTGCTTTATTTTTCTTTCATGCACCATTTCTGCATTTTGGTTTTTCCTTCTTTTCAACCATGATGTTTGACAAGAATCTAGAATCAGAAATGACGCTCATTAAATATAAAGACAGGAAGAGCTGCAGTCAATATTCCCTGATGTTTTGAACATAATAGAGAATTTACAGTGAATGACAGCGTCTGTCTTTGATCTTGTCTCTAACTGCATCAATCATTTATGAATTACCTCCATTTCCTTAATGTTATTTTATGCACTTTAGTGTTTCTGTCATTTCTTCTCTTGCCGTCATTCAGTTGCCAAATTCACTCGTTCCCCTGCTTGTCATCCAGATTCCTCTCTCCTATTCAGTCTATTGGAGGGAGAGGTTTTGTCAGAGTCCCTGAGGGTTTTCTGTCTCTGTGTGTATTCCTGTTTTATTTTTGTGGAGATTCGGTTGACACTCTCATACAGTGTGCTTTACACTTCCCAGACAAGGTGCTTTACATTTTGATTCCACAGTTTCAATACAATCTTAAATTTATGCCGACTTCCTGTCTGCAGTCATTCTCGCTCTAAATCACACTTCTTATAACCTGAGAAGGGTAAAGACCAATCTTCTTCATTTCACGTTTGAGTTGCACATTTTTATTCATTTTAATTAGAAATTATTCCACGTGCTTTGGTAAAAATAAAATTTTTTCACTGTTATGATAATAATTTTTGGATGTAAACGAGAGTTTTGACCCACACTTCCTTAGAACATGAGGTGTGTTCTAAATGGTCACCTTCAGGATTTGAAAATGTGACTATTTACATGAAAAAGCATCTCATGCTCTAAATCAGTCAGGCATGGCGCTTCATGGTCAAATTCAACATGGCTAATATGTTTTTCTCCCTTGTTTTCTTTGTCTTTTTTTTATTGATTTTAATTTAAAATTCTTTAATGATTTTATTGTTTTTTGTCACTATATCTTGTTTGCTGTAACCAAACATTCTGGTGCAACCTTACCTTTTTATTATTTCTTTGGCTGTTTTATAAAATTTTCTTGCCTCATGAACAAAACATCAGCTGAGAGTTGGCTTAACCTTGATTGGTGAAATACGTGCACAGCACACGCACTGCACGTGTTTAACATGTTTCATGCTCACAGAACTGATCTGAAATCAGCTGCAGCTCTCCCACTTTTAGTGTATGTTAAATATTAATTTTTATGTAGACGTGCATGTGAATCTGAGTGTGTGTTGTAAAATTGGACATTTTCTCACTCCTCTAATACGTGTGTGTGTGTGTGTGTGTGCAAGCGTGAAATGGTTATTGTTAACTGTCTGCTGCATGTATGTTAATGCATGATTATCACTTGTCTTGTTCTTTCAAAATAAAGTTCATGTAATTTCAGTTTTTCATTTGTATAAATCTTCAAAACAACGATTGTTTCGTTTTTGAAAGATCTGAAGATCAAATGCAAACTTGACATATTTCTGATGGTTGAACAAACAAACAACTGTTCTAATCAGAGGTGTAGATGTACTTTTTGTTGCAGTGCTCTCCTCACCTTATCTTTGTTTGCAGCCACATAGCCGTGCAGTCTCTCTGCCTTGTAGTACGGAGAGCCGTGCGCGGCAAACCAAACATTAAGCGCTTTATTGATCTTCAGGCCGGCATCGCCTACAGAGAAGATCTGAACATTCTCTGGCAGCGTCTGAAGGACTTCAGCCAATGTTCGACTCAGACGAGAAAACCGACTCTCCTCGCCGCCGCTACCTCTTCTGAAAAAGTCCCCCACTGTCAGATCTTAAAAAGACAGGGAAAGATAATAGACTTTGATAAACCTTCACAGGGAATCAGATTATGAGTTTTTTACCAAAAGAGTACAAAAAATATAAATGGTAAATCGCCTTCTAGAGTCCTGGAACCCCCCAAGGCGCTTTACAACACAATCAGTCATTCACCCATTCACACACACATTCACACACTGGTGGGGATGAGCTACGATGTAGCCACAGCTGCCCTGGGGCGCACTGACAGAGGCGAGGCTGCCGAGCACTGGCGCCACCGGTCCCTCCGACCACCACCAGCAGGCAATGTGGGTTAAGTGTCTTGCCCGAACCTGCGACCTTCCGATTGCGAGGCGAGCACTTAACTCCTGTGCCACCGTCGCCACCACATATAAAAGGGAGTTTATGACACACAAATGCTGAAAAGACTTGAGAGGACATCATTTGATAGTTTTGATTAAGTTTGAGGAAGCAAACAGATGGAAAGCTAATATTTAGCAGCTTCCTGATGGCATGAAATACAGCAACCCATCAACTAATGTTACCATGGTAACTACAGGGCATGGAGCATCACTGAATAACATGTTGAGATGTCAATGTTGTATTCGAAAGTGATGACAGAGGCTAGAATTTTACACACACACACACACACACACACGCACGCACACACACACACACACACACACACACACACACACACACACACACACACACACACACACACACACACACACACACACACACACACACACACACACACACACACACACACACACAGTTTTTTTTTATATTTCCAAGCAACACCGTCACTTTGGGACTCACTAGTCAGACGAATGGACGCGGCTTGTTGCAAGGCACTCCGATGCAGCTCCGTCACGTCTACCTGGGCGGTAGAAATGACGTCAGGCCAGGTGCGGTCTGACACGCGCACCTGCAGGTGATACGAGCCTGGGGGAGTCCCCTCCCTGATAAGCAGCTGACCCGAGCTCTGGTTCAAACTGAAAAACCTGAGAAGAAGAGTGAGAAGTTTTCAGTTTCAGTAAAAAATAACAACAGCATGAGGTATTTTAAAAGAATTGGTTCTTAAAGTGAGCTAAAACCTAAAGAATGACGTTTGTAAAACTGGGGAATCTTGACATTTTGAGGTTGAAACAAAGTGAAGTGACAGATTCGGGAAGTGCTGCTAATCTTTTTATTGACTTAGTTCCCAAACGGATTAGGAATGTTTGTCTACACGTCTACAGCATGTTCTCATGATGGCTCTCTTTAGGGAAACTAAAACTCAAGGTTTTTATTAAAGTGCTACATTTACCTGTAAGATCCTGCTGTTTTTCCATCTTAACACTGGATTGGTTTTCATCTCCCAGGTGTAATCCAGGTTTAGGAAGCATTGCATCATAAAAACTAATGTAATGTTATGGAATGTAATAAAAATATAAGTACACTGCAAAAACTAATTTCGTTTGATTTAATTTTTTGTCTAAAAAGAAAAAAATCTCATCTAGAAAAACAGTAATACTTAAAATAGGGTAAAAATTCTTAAATAAGATCCAGTTTATTGTTTCATCGATCTAAACTTAGGCTTTTAAAAAAAACTTTCTTGGAAATAAGTTTTTGCAGTGTACTTAGTTACTCTACTTCCACTACTACAGTTTTACTTAATCTGAACTTAAGTCATTTTCTTGAGGCCCACATTTTACTTTCTGTTTGAAAAGTAAAAGTACTTTTATTTACGTTTTGTCTGACCCCCCTCCCATGTTACAGTGTTTTGACTCCTCCCCTTTGGTTCGACATCACACACACAGCACATGTTTAAACGTTAGTTGAATACTTTTACTTCTGTACTTTTAAGTCCATTTGAAAATGTGTACTTTAACACTTTTAATTAAGTCAAACATTTGTTGGATGGTTCCACTTTTACTTAAGTAATTATTTTTGCCACCTTATCAGTATTTTACTCAAGTAAAAAAATAAATTTAAGTACTTCTTCCACCGCTGTGAAGAGGCAATAATTATTACTGTGAAACCATTGCTATCTAAAAGATAGAGGCTGAACAGAGTTCTGCCAACTTATGGAGGCTAGTTTTGAAATAAATAAATAAACATAAGTTGACAAAATTAAACAATTAGTAGACCTTTTCCCTTGCTTTCACTTAGTAAAATAACGCTTCTGACACAAATGAAATAGATTGGGACTACATGACAAACCCAGCCATGGGTAAAATTGCACTACAGATATGTTAAATAAAACAAAAACCTAATAAAAATCAAGTTAATGCAGTGTATTTCCCTATGATATGCAAAGCTCTACTAAAAACTGTTAAATCAAAATCTAAAAATCTAAATTAAAATATTATGGATGTAGTCTGAGCTGAATGGTATTTTGAAACAGTCAACTCAAAAATATCAAATGTAAATACGTCATAAACTTTTTCCACCATCAGTTATTTCACATTATGCTGTTAGCTCAGCTGAAAACTCCCCAAATTCCACCTGGAATTGTGTGGAAACCCCGGCGTCCCCTGCTTCTACTGTTATAGCTGAAACCAGTTTATGCATCTTCTCAGTTTCCTTAGAGGGGCAGGCCAGACCTAATCTGACTATGTGCCAAAGGGTCACGTAACAACTTAACCTCCTCACGCTGAAGCAACCTCAAGAGCTCAAAGCAGCTGGATCGATTACTCGTTGCACAGTCAAGACCAGAGAATGCAGGAATCAACCGGCGTTACTGCAAAAAAAAAAACTGGCTTTTTTCTGAAGCTGATTCAACCCTCAAGACTTAAAACTACAGAACAAAGTAAATGCATTTTTCTTTTCAACTTAGATTTTGAGACATTTTGTTGCATTTACACAAGTCGTCCTTTGAAGATGTGGTTCTTCATCCGGACTTTGCATTTCTTTTCTTTATGTAAATAACGGCGAGCCTAAACTCGATCTATTCTGTGAACAAATTGCTTTCTGCTGGCTGCAGAGATGACAGGAGGTGGTTCAAAAGTGTCTATGGTAATTCTCTCCCTGGTGGTTTCTTTGTTCTTGTCCGTCTCCTGTCGTCTCTTGTCATCCCTCCTTGTAGGTATCTCGTTAGAAGAAAAGGTGGCAGGCCGAGCAATCAGGTTCTCCTTTCTTTGTGTCTGCATGAAGCCTCGCCTCATCAAACAAAATGAGTGCGCCCTCACTGCGCTTCACTGGGAATTTTCAATACCGCTGGTTATGAAGTATTAATAGCACTGTTCCTGACAAGTCAGATCTCCTTTTCTATCCTTTTCCTCCAATTTTCATTCTTTTTCACTCTTTATTTGTTTCCTCCTTTAGGCTTAATGTAGCATACCAAAAGGTCTGCGCTGCCTCTGACCTGCATTCTATGTAAATTAGTAATGTTGTATGGCAACAGAGAAATGGTTAGTTCTTAGAAAAGCTGGTTTAAAATGTCATAAGCAAGACACAACACCTTATATTAGGATGTCCTAACCCACTCTAGCATTAACTTATTAACTGCCAATGATGACTAAAGTTGCCATTTGCATTTTTTTACTGAGTGGGCGTCGGAACGATCCCCCGCACCGTAAGAAAAAACACATCAGCTCTAAAGCCAATCTTCATCTGCGTACGTCACACGTCACGTAACCAGGAAGCAGAAAATCCATGTGTTAGGAGATCGTTTTGGGCCGCTGCTGTCAATAAAGTGGCCGTGAACCAGAAAAGCCTCTACTGATTCTAATTCGACAACGGATTATGAAAGAACGGATAACGCTCGAAACGAGCAGATTCTTTCTGATGTAAGAGGTGAGTCTACTCTTTGTTTTGGTAGTTTTGGCGTTGACATCATCCTAGCGTGCAACGTTCTGTGACTTCTAAAAAAACAGTAAAAACACTGAAAAATGCTGGCAGCGAAAGGCTTTTCTGATCAGGACAGGCTGGCAGTGAATGAGTTAATATAAAATGTTGTTCACGGTGGTGCTAACCGCAAAACAGCGCCTGGCTGAATTACTGCTAACGCTAGCCTGAGCTGATGCTAATGCTAGCCTGAGCTGCAGCTAACGCGAGAATGAAATGCTAATAGCCCTGGTGGACAAGAGAAAAACAACAAAGAAGAATTTCAGAGCATTCTGATTCCAGGATGTACTGGGAATATCCAGACTATGAATAAATACCAGAGAGATCCACAGCTTGTGGTCCATGTCATGCACCGGTTGAGTGGTCGGGGGAAAACCAGTTTTTACATTGCAGGTCTAATTTTAGGGGTTAAAAGTGACCCTTAATCTGGGATCCTGGTAGATTAGGATTCCAGACCAGCAAAAGCAAAAGGATGGTCTAGCCATGCTCCATTCAAACATCCGCAGATCCGGCCAGTCTGGTGCCGGGCCAATCACAGCACTCTATCAGTTTCGTTTGTGTATCCTTCGACAATATGGCTGACTATTCCATTCACTGACATTCGAAGTGGGCCAATCACAACGCTCTATTTGTTTGGTGGGTTAATCACAGCACTCTGTTGGTGGGCGGGATGTTATTGCGACTGAGTGAAAAAAACAAAGATGGCGGTGGCTCATTTGAAATGGCTCTGGCATCAACTTTGGACTCTATTGACTCGGGCTTTTCTTTGAGTCTAGAGCGGATAGAGGTACTTAAGTTTATTTAGAAAAGGGATGTATTTGCATCTTTTTTGATGGAATTTGGTGGACTTTCCCATTGACTGACATGAATACCGGTGAGCACATCACATGGTTTGTTGTCCAATAGCATGCAGAGACAGTTTAAAAGTCAATCATAGATCTCGTTCTATGACTGTCCAATTACTCCATACTATACATTCATCTATATGAGATGGGTTGCCAGGCTAGGCTCCTGGGTCACTGTGAGCCCCAATAAAGTTTCACATGCTGTTTCCAGTATTAAATACCCAGTATTATACTAACCATTTAGTGTGTAAACTCCACTGAACACTTCTCCCTTTGATAATGTTTGATTTTCATCTATTTTTATGTCAAAGACACAAAGCTTTATTTATCACAAGCTAAGTTGCTTTCTGACCATTTTAGCACATATTAATGCTTCTCCCAAATTAATGAAAAAAAAATCACTTCTTTTCTTGGTGTAGAAGGAAATAATCAGTTTAAATGTGTCTTTTATACTTGATTCTTTGTCAGGTCAAACTTCAGAATCAATTTTTATATTTAATCAATACCTAAAAATACTTTCAGGATATTTGCATTGCTGTCTTCCTATATTACCTCATGACCTTCTCCCCCAGTAACGTGATTTGTCCATTTCTGTTTTCCCCACCATCACTCTTTTCCAGGTCACTTTTAATTATTGTCAAAGTTTCACCAAGATTGGATCAAAGTACCTGGTTGATTTGCCTTCAAACCGGTACACTTTCTCGCTCCAGTCGTCAAGGTCAGGGGACTGAATGTGTCCGAGCACCGTCGTCGGGAGGATACCTGTCAGGCGGAAAGTAAAAAGCACCAAAGAAAAGAGAGAAAAAGTTAAAATTCATTCACTGGAGAAATTAGTTCAGAGCACAAAGAGATCCCTGTGGCACAACTCAAATATTAAGAGTGAAAGGAAGAAAGTTGGGGCTCCTTTAAAGAGATAAGAAGACAGGTGAAGCCTTTTTGGCATGCATGGTCATGGTTTGATGGCACATCGGGAGGAAGGGCACACATTAAAGTAACTTTGCTTCTCCCCAGCTTATTCCTCGCCCCCTCTTCTAAACCTGAACACAGTGCTGTAATCACTTTAGCCATGAAATCAGCCACCTTTTAAAAATGCTTCCTGTTTATGTGCCCGTCAAATCTGGGACATAAGCTGGAGTTAATTGTTTGCTTTGTGACATGTTTTCTGGGTGAGGGGTGGATCGTGTTAGCAGGTTAATATACTTTCAAGTGGAAAGGCCCCGGAGAGGGAACTCACCCAAAATACATTTCAGAAAACTCAAGTTTTCTTTTTTCCACCAGAAAATTACAGCGGGTCGACAGATGGTATGAAATGCTAAATAAGTGATAGGGCTGGAGCAAAAGCGTGTGAGTAGTTGAGTGTGACAAGAACATTCTTAACACGAGTAGAGAGTGCTCAGGAGGTTGTGAGTGGGGCCTGAGAGAACCTGAACGTTTGTGATGGGATCAGAAAGAGACCAGTCTGTCCACCAAATCAGGTCCATCAGTGTGAGACAAATGTCCCTCTTTTTCTTATATGACTATCCTAAGTGTGCCTTTGAGCAAAGCAGCCTGACCACGAGCTCTCCACTTCAGCAAACGGTTGCAAGTTTGCACAATCGGTCTTTCAGGTGTGAGCAAAAAAATAAAACCAATAAAGCCTGGCGCTGTATGAATTTAGAACTATAAAATGAAATAAATAAATAAATAAACATGCAAAAAAAAAAAACGTTATTTTAAAATATTTTAGAAAACAAATCAGAAACGTAAAACAATCTTAATTATACTTTTTATTTATTTATTTTGTGGATTTAAACAGTGAATGGTTTAAAAAAGGTTTATTGGCAGAACAATTTTGTAGTTCATTTAAAGATAGAAAATAGACGGATAAACGCTCGTCTCAGAAATACCTGACAGATCTATGTCGCACTGTCACTTAACATTCTTGGACTTACCCATCTCAACTGGTGACGGGGAAGGCTGTTGTTGATTGGAAACTACAGAGAACGTCTTGACTGGTGCTAACTGTTAGCATTAGCAACTCCACAACACAGAACTCCTTCAATCTTGTGTTATTTGTTGCGATAAAACATCCATGTTGCAAACAAACGGTTAGTGGTAGAGTTGGACTCCAAAACCTGCCGTCTGAAGCTAATTTCTCCTTCGGCTGACCTCTACATCCCCAACCTGGTGCGCCAGAGCTTTTTTTCCCCAGAGAATGATTCACAAGGCGTTCATTCCATAAATTCTGATGCTTTCAGGCGCAATCCCACTTTTTGGCGCATTTTTCAAACAGAAAATGTTGGTGGAGCAAGACTTTGGTGATGGGGGTGAATTGCTCTTTAACCAAAAGAAAATCTGTACATGTCTTTTATTTTGAAAGTTGCTGGATGCTTCACACTGCTCCCATATTTGATTTCCTGTCTGGCCTAATCTGATCTGCTCAGCTGGGTGGGTAAAAATAAAACCGGGGCATAAATTTAGCACAGCACAGCAGCACAGCACTTCTGGGATGCATTTGAGACGCGCTACTTTGCGGCTTTTAGCTGTGAAAATTCATTGGTGAAACCTTATCAACAGAAACCAGAACACAGATTTATAGAGACGAAACAGACTGTTCTGTTTAACAAGATTAAACAGGTTAACATACCTTCATAGCTGTAGACAATGAAGTGTGTGTGTCCAGGTGAATGTGGATGGTCATTCCTATCACCGATGACAACTGTCAGTGTGTTGGTTGAACTCATTGGTGGAAAGCCACCATCAATCATGAGAATTGGAAGGCGGTACTCCTTTTGGCGCTCACGATCGAAGGTGCGGAGGGCCGTGATGACTGCACTTCCGTTCCTAAAGTCAGTCAAATTAAAGTTGGTGGCATCTGAAGTGAGCATGAGGAGACGTATGGAGAACGGGCCACCATTGGTGGATGTGTCACGGTCAGTGGCATGAAGTAGCAGGGAGGTTTCATTCATTCGGACCACCTGGGGAGCAGCCGTGTTCTCCCAAACAACAGGCTTGTAGGGAGCCTCAAACTCAGGTCCGTTGTCATTAACATCCAGTACAGTTACCATGACGATCGCTGTGCCAGTCAAGGGTGGAGTACCAGCATCTGTCGCAAGAACCATGATCCTGTGCTGGGCAATCTTTTCTCTGTCTAAAGGATGAGCCACTACCACCCAGCCTGACTGGTCCACGAGGAACTGGTTATAAGGGTCAGACTCTTTGGAAATACTGTAAGAAAAGTGGGCATTTTGCCCTGAATCCAGGTCTGATGCTGTAACCTGAGTGACAATTGTCCCAACAGGGACATCCTCAGACATAGCAGGAGACTCATAGAACTGTGGAAAGAAGACAGGAGCATGATCGTTGGAGTCTTCGACCTGAACCAGACAGTAGGCCAAGCTGAAAAAATCTGCGTCTTCAGCCTTAAGGGTCAGATTGAAAGTCCTCTCATGAAGCTTTTCAAAGTCAACCCCCTTCTTAAGTTTTATGACGCCACGCCGATTTAATTTGTCCGTCTCCACAAAGAACTTTCTGTCTTCGTCTCCACCAACGATGCTGAAGGTAACCACGGCATTCTCGCCCTCATCTCCATCAGTTGCAGAAACCACAAGAACTTCGCTGTTAACTTCAAGGTCCTCGGTTACCTGAAATACACAAAAGAAGCACAGGGTGTATTGCTACTTAAATACCTTTCATGAGAAACTTCAGACCCGTTGATGCATGCTGACTCACCAGAGCAGTGTAGGACCTCTGTGTAAAAATGGGTGGGTGATCATTTACATCTGAAATCATAACGGTGGCTGTCCCTGTTCCTGACAACCCTCCTCCATCACGTGCCTCCACCACTACCAGATACTTGTCCTCTGTCTCCCGGTCCAGAGAACGTAGAACAGTGTAGATGGTCCCCGTAGTGGCGTTTATGGAAAAAAGGTTGAGGTTGATCTCATTGCGAATGTTCTTGATGATGCTGTAGGTGAGCACGGCATTCCTGCCTTCATTGGGGTCATCCAAGTCCATGGCACGCATCTCCATAATGGAGGTGTCAGCAGGTGAGTTTTCAGGAACCTGGCCAACAAAACATCCATCTACTTCAAAAGCCGGGCACGGAAAGAAGGGGGCGTTGTCATTTATGTCTCTAACTTCTAACAGCACATCAGCGAATCCGGTAAGTCCTAATCCTGCCTCGTCTGTGGCGAGGACGAGAAATCTCCAGGCAGGTCGCTCCTCGCGGTCGAGGCGACGCTGAGCATAAATTCTCCCGGTGTGTTCATCAATGGTGAATTCACCACCAGCACCCTGACCGTGGAGGGAGTAGCGGAGGGCGGACTGGTCGGCTTCCTGATCTGGATCTGTAGCTGAGACCTGCGAGACGGATCAATTAGGAAAAGAGATAAATTAATACGTTTATACATTAGAGATGTTTTAATACCTTTTCGAGGAAGTCGTGTAAAACACCACTAAGTTTAGCATTAAAACCATTTTGTTTATTTTAAAAACAAAAGTTAACTCCCAATATATAAATGGTGCGATTTGTAAGAATGCCATCCAGTGGTCAAACTTGGGTATTGTAGCCCATTTTTCTTAAATATAGATGGCTTTCTCACTACTGTTAAGTTAGTTTATTGACTGTTGCTAATTATGGATCAGCACCAGAAGATTCTAGATGACAAGCAAAGATGAGTCATTCACAGTCAGTTGATAAGTAGATGAATACATTGTCATATCTGCTGTCAGCACTCGGGTGTTTCACAGTAGGGAGCGCTTACTACACTTATAGGGCTTGTGATCACACGTGATTACGCATAGCATTCTGGGATGTGCGCGGACATGTTGGAAGGTTGACGAGTGTAAACAAACCATGAAACAATCGCAGAGAAGAAGCGGATTTGGGTGAAAGAAAGTGTTAAACAACATTATAAAATCCCCAAAAGGATGAGGAATATACAGGGATACATTAAATAAAGACATTGTAAACTGCTACGTGGACAAAACCAGCATTATAAATGGTTTTTATGCATATGAAAGACCCAAGACCAAAGCACCGATGACATATTGTTGCTGCCGCAGTTCTGCATAATGGACATTTTCAGCTTTCTTCTTAGTGGTGTGAGCGGATGTAAACGTCCGGATGAGAGGTACAGTGATCCCTCGCTACTTCGCGGTTCGTTTATCGCGGATTCACAACTTCGCGGATTTTTTCTTTGGAGCCTTTTTCAAGGGAAATTCGCCGATTTGCGGTATTTCTCACCGATTCACGTTATTTTTCTATGCGAAATATCAAGAAATTCCTGTTTTTTTCATCAATTTCATCATAAAATGCACTTTTTGTAATAAAACTATAAAAAAACCAAGTAAAAAAAAATTTTTTTCTTGAGTTTTACCCACAAAAAGAGAATGTGATCATATGATAATTCAATATAGTTCTGTACTGTAAATATGGTGTGCCTACTTCGCGGATTTTCACCTATCGCGGCCAGGTCTGGAACGCATCTACCGCGATAAACGAGGGATCACTGTAAACATTTTTTGTTGGTTTTTCTAGTAAAACAATAAAAATTGTCATCTCACGGAAGAAGTGTAGTGAGAGAAGTTGTGTTGTGTGTCAGTGCACCTGCATTAGCTTACCGGTGTGTGAGTGTAGCCTCTGTGTGTGTGTGTGTGTGTGTGTGTGTGTGTGTGCTTCGTGTGAATGCCGCAGTGGAAGGAAAGAAACAATGTATAAAAAACGTAGACCATCTGTAACTTACCAGAATGAAAATACACTGGAAGGAGTAATATAACAAGACTTTGTTATGCTAGATACCTGATCTCCGTGGTTTTGCCTCTAAGCAAGAAAACGGTGAAAACTTAGCTTGTTTTCCACCTTTATTCCCCTGGCGATCACATGTGTCACCCCACAACACAGCAACGATTTACTAGAGTTGTGTAATACAACCGATCAACTGAATAATAGATTAATTTAAGCTGCAAGAACGAGACTGAGCGCGCTGTTTACGGTAGTAACAAGCAACAATTAAGGACTCACACGCCTCTAACAGGGCGGCTGCGTCGGTGATGACATCACAATCACATACCCTATTGTCTTAGTCTTAGGTTGTCTTACAGGAAGTCTTGTTTGCTGCCTTGCTGTAAGCTTGTTCTTAGTTCGACTCATTAAAGGAAGTAAAACACCACGTTTGACTCATTATTCACTTCACACATACATTTCACTGTGATATTGAGTTGTTGGTAATTGAAAAGGTATCTTGAGATATTTTTAAAGCCAGTTATTTGCTTCTAATTTACCATCAGCGTTGTAAGCTCAACATTAGACTCTAGCCTGCTTTACCTGATATTAGAGTAAAGTAAAAAGATTGTGTGGCTTCTTAAGGGTACAAGAAATAACTTCTGAGTCACTCCAGTTTACTGGCATTGGTACTTTAAACAACTCTTGAGCTTTTTGACTGCCAGTGTCTAATTACAAATGCCAACATTACTGCTTTAGCGCGGCACAGACTGAGTGTTGGAGATTTTTTATGTATTACTGTCTTAAATGTTCCTTTTTAAGTAATCATATGTTAATAAGAAAGCCACAGAGTTCTTTCTCCTTCTTTCTTGATGTAGAATGTGGCTGATAAGCCCTGATGTTTGACTGGTATGCTGCGGGGGTGTCATGGTCTGTGTCCGTGTCTCTTTGTATTCCTCATGTGTCCCCTGGTCTTCAGCCCTCCAGATATTCCCTCTCAGGTCCTGTGCTCCTTCAATCTCCCCCAGTCACCCCTCTGCAGTTTTTTATAGGTTCAGCTTCTCTTTTTATTAGTCTCTTTAGTATGTTTTTTCCACAGGTTTTTGTAGTTTCCCTTCCCCTTAGAATATTATTTTGCTGCTCATCTTGTCTTTAGGTTTTTTACTCTTACTCTTAGGTCATGTTAGTTTCCTCCCTGATTAGTTAATTGGTTTCACCTGGTTCTCTCTCCACACACCTGCAGCCCATCTGCCTCCCATCATTGTGCTCTTTAAGTGAGCTGTTGTCTCCAGGTTTCCAGGACATTGTTTTTTGACTCCCTGGCCTTTTTTTTTGGATTTTTGGTTCCCCTTTCTAATAAAGGAATGATTTCATTTACATCCACTCCTGCCTCATGTCGTTCTGGGTGTCTGCATATTGGGTCCACACCTCCTCCTAACTCGCAACGTGACAGGGGGTTGGTGAAATAGCCTGCCCAACAGGTATCCATGGTTACTGAGTTTCTGGCTGTCAGTTATAAATTAAGACTTCCTTTGGGAAGGCTCTGCTTGGCAACAGGAAAAGCTAGCAGGCTGAATGAGTCACCCCTGTAACTTGAGACTTCCTTTTTAGAAGGTCCCGCCTTAGATAGAAAACAGTGTTATTGGTTAAGTGTGGACAGTGATGGATCATCCTTTGTCTCTGTCTGCCTGTGTTTCAATAAAACCAGCTGAAGAAAGAACACGCCAGAGTTAATCGGACAAGGGCCTTGGACAGGCTTTTGGCTGGTTGCTCTCCGCTGTCTCCTCACAGCGTGTAAAACCTACTGACGTCTCTCACAGTGTGGTTCATTTCAGGGTTAAGTTTCAGGATTTAAAAATACCCAATAGTGAGCAACCTCACGGGGTCACAGAGCGTCAATCGTGACTACATCCCTCTTTAGTTTTTTCAAAAGGAGAAAAACTGACAACCCCCCAGCCTGCTGGGTATGAAATCTGTTTCAGTGTAACTTTACTTCCAGCATTATTGATACATTAAACGGTTTTGTGATTATTTCACTGTAGAATTCTTACATATTACCCCTTTAAGCCTGCGACAAACACCATAGTGAATAGATGGCAAAATGTAATTGCAATCTTGTGAAAATGCAGGTGTATGAATAAAGATGTTTATTTGAATTTACTGAATATCAAGACTCATGTGTTCACTACTCCTCTAAAAAAGGGGGTTAATTTTCCATTTAACCTTGACTGCTCTTTGAGAAGCTGTTTTTGAGTGTTTCAGGCTAATTATTTAACCTTTTGGTGACATTGAAAAGTTTCTCACAAAACACCAACTTCCCATTCAAACGCTGCCTCAATAAAACCGTTGAAAATGGTAGCTGTTTGTTAAAATCCGGTCAAAGATGCCATGTTGACATCTCGTCCCAATTCAGTAACATCCTTCCTTTAATAAGACACTATTTCTTGTGTTCATTTTTTCCCATCACGTCTTATTAAAAAACAATTAAATTGCTTTTTCATTATGTAGAAATGTCAAGCCTTGCAAATAGGACTTGCGGCACGGAGCTGATTGCAGCATTTGCCCCTGCACACTGAGACTTCACAGCACAGGAATAAACATTTCGCTGTTGCTTTGTCCTGTTTGCTTAATTAACCTGCCTTCCTGCTATCTCTCTGAACAAGAAGACAAGAGCAGCGGCAACCAGACAAGCTCTCACATCTGTCACTGAGACACACAATACAATTAAAAGTTAATACATGGCAACAAAAGCAAGAAAAGTACACTTTTACCCTTTCTTCTCTTTTCTCACCAGAGGGTTTGTTTACAGAAGCCTTTGAAGTCCCCCTACCCTCCCTGCCACCTCATGTTGGCTCCTTGCATTCCCTGACAACGTGATGCAGGTACACAATATTGAAGATGAACAGTGGTGACACCACAGAGGAGGCTGTCGCACAGGTGAAGTCACAAAATATTCATTTCAAATTGGATTTTCTCCTCCGTTCGCTATCTACTGAATTGTATTAGTGCACGGGGCTGAGAGTGGCGTGTGTTGAGGGAGGACCCGTTCGCTGTGCACCAGAAAGGAAAAAAAAACAAACAACTGAATGCCTTGGAGAGGGACCCAATGCACATCAAATCAATTCCGGCAGGCGAGAGGAAACAGGCCCAGGTTGAGGACTCAATGACACCTCTGACAGAGATTATTCCCCTCCCCTCTAAGACGCGCTTCCACGTTTATAATCTTATTTAGTTTGGCAGCACAGGCAAATTATTGTGAAATACCAGAGATAGGTGTGACGAAAGGTGGATGAGATCAACAGAACAAGGAGTTCAAGTCTAACTTTTCAGAGGCAACTTTTGGGATCGTGGTCTCTTTGTGTGACCCTTCTGTAAAACTGTTGCCACACACACATGATGTGTTATTATGACACCAAATCTCTGCTGGGGTGTCGCTCTGGGCTTATTCAACACTAAGCGTGACCACTTCTAATAGATTAGCCTCCATTAAACTTGATACCTTTTCACATATTGTTCATATAAGCTCTCAAATTTTAAATCAATGTGGTTGTGATACTTTCTCAGGTTTACATTTGAAACAATTTCCTCTGGAAAGGGTGAGCATGTGATTTAACACGGCAGTAAAAACATGTACCGTGCTTTTAACCCACCCCTTGGTTTTGTCTTGGTGTGTCGGATCGTGTGTCGGATCATAGTGTTTGTGATGAGGTCTCCCTATGGCGCCTCCTCTGGCCCGCAGATGTAATGAATTCCAGCCCAATAAGACTCTGAATGAACCACGGCAGGTTTGTCGGAGTAGAGTGATCGCATCCTTTATTTACACACCAGGTGACCCTAGATACAAGTAGGATCCAAAACCATGATCAGGAAATTTGACAGCAGGAAATAGGCTTCACCTCATTGGTCACTTCTCAGAGCCATACTCACAGCCGCCAGGAGCAACTGGCTCCTGAGGCTTTCCCAATAAAAAAAAAAGCCTTCTGAATTGCAGTGAAGAACATTACATAGAGGTAGCCCCGCCCCTTAATCATCCTCTGTTTCTCCACCCGGAAGTGCGGCGGAAGTACGCCAGACAGGTAAGCGCCACCAAAACCAAATATGTGAGTTAACGTTTGTTTAACCATGAGACAGTGGGACAAGCACAAGTGCGAACACTTGTCGTGTCCTGCACAGAAGGAAGGGAGAGTGCCGATGATTTAACAGCTGTTTAGTGTAAACGGAACGGGAAGGTTACTGGCTGGTCGTGAATGTGTGTGCTAGGGTCACCCTTAACTGGAGGGATGGGTCTACCCCATCACAGTGTTGCAAGAGCAGATCTCAGTATATGCAAAAGAAAGAGCAAGACCTCACCACATACTTTACTTTTAAACTTAGTTTCTGCTGTTTAGATCACATTTACTTGACCAATAAACAGGTAAAAAAAACATTTCATGTGTTAAAAAAAGAACCTAAAAACGCAGTCAGAAGAAAAACACAGGATGAACATACAAAAGATGTTTAAAGGTCAAAGAAGAGTTTGTTTCAAGATAATAGATTTGAAATGGAAAAGCATAGACTTCCTGACCTGGGTCTGAGGAATGGTCTGTGGAGACGTTTAGGAATCTCATGGTGTAAACCAGTCTCTTGTGAAGAAATGACTAAAGTGAAAGGTGGAGATTTGAGTCTACTGGCGAATCTATGTCCCAACTGTCATCTATGGTCATGGGCTTTGGGCAATTAAAAAACAAATGGAATGTAGCTGGGATTGGCTGACTTGGATTGGTGTCACTGCGTCTCCACATGGGTGGGATATGAGATGTTTATCAGAAGCATTTTTTCCCATATTCTACTCCTTGTTGCTCGCCCCGTAATCGGAAGGTTGCAGGTTCAAGCCCGCTCAAATTGTCTCTGTTGTTATGTCCTTGGGCAAGACACTTACACCCCCCCACCCCCGACCTTGCTGGTGGTGTTCGGGGGAACCGGTGGCACCAGTGCCAGTGCGCCCAAGGGCAGCTGTGGCCACATTGTAGCTCATCCCCACCAGCTGGTGAATGTGTAAATGACTGATTGTGTTGTAAAGCGCCTTGGGGGGTTCCAGGACTCTAGAAGGCGCTATATCAAATACAGGCATTTAAAATGCTCCTCATATACAGAAAGAAACCAATAAATTCAATATTTTGTCCCAAAAAGCAATAATGTTTCTTTCCATTGGGATGCTCCAGGGTGGAGCAAGGACAAAATGGAGGGGCTATATTAGTAGATTGGCTTTGGAACATCATGGAAATAATGTTAAGGTGTTGAAGAAGTAGATAAAGCGAAGGAAAGTCAGGGATTTTTGCTAGGGCTTCAGCAACCATGAGCCACATGGGGTAAGAAACCCAAAGCAAGATAATAGAACTTAATGAACTCTTGAGATAAAGTAGTATCTTGTTCCAGTTTCAAAAATATGGACATCTTGGAAGATTTGGAGTTATGCTTCTCTAATACCAGGGAGGTCACAATGAAAAAAACAAACTTTTGTGAAACATCTCTATCCAACACACATGCTGACTAACCTCCAGGATGAACACAGGAAGCTGGGTGAGCTCCTCCATCACCGTGGCGAGATACTCAGTCTGGCTGAAAACTGGCGCCTCATCGTTGCGGTTGACCACTTGAACCACCACCAACGTCTCGTTTTCCCACTTCCCGTCCGAAGCAACAAGCCGGAGCTCGTAGCGTTGCTCCATCTCATAGTCTAGAGGCTGAGCCACAAAGATAGTGCCCACCTCCGGCTCCACGTCGAACGTCCCCATGCTGTTTCCAGAGGTGATCTGGTAGCGCAGCTTTGCATTGGCACCTGGATGGAGGGAATGGAGTCATGGTTAGATCAAGCTGGTTTCGTTGTCATCAATCAACTTTTTGTTTTTAATATTTTCATTTAATTAATTTAGTCATTCATATCCCATTTTCTTTAAGAAGACCATCATCATCATCATCATCATCAACCTTTATTTATAAAGCACATTTAAACGGCGACAACGCTAAAGTGCTGTACAAGACAATACATCACCAAAATAGATAAAACAAATAAAAACTAGTAAAAAAACAAAAAACAAAAACAAAACAGGAAAGCTCAAGGGTTAAACAGTCTCAGCCGGGAAGGCCAGGGAATAGAAATATGTCTTCAAACGTTCTTTAAAAGTGGGAAGGGAGGGGGTAAGTCAGACCGTCAGGGGGAGTTGGTTCCAAAGTTTAGGCGCACAAACTGAAAAAGCCCGTTCACCACGGGCCATATAGCGGGCAGGAGGGACAAGCAGAAGTGCTGGTCAGAGGACCTCAGGGTTCGCGCTGGAACATAGGGACTCAAAAGATGTGCCAAATAGGAGGGGGCCGTTTCATGAATAGATTTGTAAACCAACAGGAGAATTTTGAACTTAATCCGAAACCGAACTGGAAGCCAGTGTAAACTTGCCAAAACAGGGGTGATATGCTGCCGTTGGTCTATGCCCGTCAGAAACCTTGCGGCAGCATTCTGTACCAATTGGAGGCGTACCACTGAAGAGAAGGGAATACCATATAAAAAAGAATTGGCATAGTCCAGACGTGACGTTACAAAAGCTTGATCAACTTACTGAAGATCTTTTATGTTCAGGACAGATTTTAGTTTGGCCAGCCGGCGAAGACGAAAGAAACACAACCTGACTACCTGATTTTTCTGTGCATCCATTTTAAACAAAGCATCCAGAGTGACCCCCAAATTTGTAATTGTCGGCTTCACCAAAACTGACAATGAAGGGGGCAGAGATGGCTCCATAGCCTTAGGGGAGCAGGGGGCAAAGAAAATAGCCTCCAGTTTGGAGCTATTAAGATGGAGAAAATTAGCCGACAGCCAGGACCTGACTTCACTCAGGCAGTCAGTCAGTGGTTGCACAGGGTCAGCAGATTTTAGGGCCATAAAAAGCTGACAATCGTCAGCGTAGAGATGAAAATTTACCCGGAATTTTCTAAAAATGGCTGCCAAGGGTAAAAAATATAGATTAAAAAGAAGCAGACCTAAAACGGACCCCTGGGGAACCCCACAAAAAAAGAGGTGCCACTCTAGAGGTGCAGTTCCCCAGGGCAACATTAAAACATCTGCCATTGAAATAGGAGCAAAACCACTCTAAAGCTCTTCCACGAATGCCAATTAACTGCTCCAGTCGCTTGAACCTGAGTTATCTCTTCAACAAAACGTTTTTGATGAAAATACCGCAGTTGAAGGCAGAAAATTCATATTTGATTTACTGGTGACAAACACACACGTGCACACACACATATGCACGGACTGATGACCCAAATGGACAGCAGCAACAGAGAAGAAAACAAGTGCTTCTTCAACAGAGGGGCTCATCAGATGCTCTGTCCTTCACACACACACACACACACACACACACACACACACACACACACACACACACACACACACACACACACACACACACACACACACACACACACACACACACACACACACACACACACACACACACACACACACACAAGATTGCATGAAATTAGATTCCTGGAGATATTACACGTTCCATGACCTTAATCTTACCTCTCCCTAACCTCACGATTAGACGTTTTGTCCCCCATAAAAAGTCGCCTCCTGATAATGCGACCATTTAAAGATTTAAGTCCCCACAAAATGAGGAATATAAATCCACACACTTATGGGATCTTTAAGCTCTTCTTGCTCTTTTCTCCTGAGGTGTTCTCTCTGGGTCTTCTGAGCACAACTGGAGAACTCTGCAATAATGAAAATTCGGAATGAATCCTGATTAGGTGTCAGAATCACCTGAACTGACACAAACGGAGCATCAGCTCCGCCCCAAGTGCCTCCAGATGTCTGCGTTACTCATTTCTAGCTGGAGGAGACTATCAACGTGCTCTAGCAGGTGAACACATGAACATAACATCCACTGCTAAAACTCACAGCCTTGCCTTCAGGCTCAGCTCCCCCTTCACCTCAATGCTCTTGTAGTACGTTTGCATTACTGCTGACTCCGTCTGTCAGCCTCTCACACACATTTACTCGTCACACCCAAGGTCCTTGAACAGCTTCAGCTGGGTAAGCCGCTTGGCTTCAAACTGGAAAGAATAACTGTAGGCTCTATAATGTCTTCTCCAAACCCTTCTTCATCCACTTACACCTATTTTGGGAAAACTGCAACAAGATTGTTGATGAATGGTGAGAAAATATTTTGTTCCTGATGAATTTTTACATAGGTGACACTTAAGGGTCCATTTATTAATGTTACTTAGTGCATAATTAAGCATTAATAAACTATTAAGTAAAGTAAACAACTGCTTAACCACATTATTTAATGCACCACTAAGCAGACCCACCCCTGGTCCTTTGTCCTAACCTTAAGGACACTTAATAGTTAACAATAACAGAAGCGTTAATAATATGGTAAAATGGTAAATGGCTTGTATTTGATATAGCGTATTCTTGAGTCCTGGAACCTCCCAAAGTGCTTTAAAACACAATCAGTCATTCACCCATTCACACACACATTCACACGCTGGTGGGGAGCTACGATGTAGCCACAGCTGCCCTTGGGTGCACTGACAGAGGCGAGGCTGCTGACCACAGGCGCCATTGGTCCCTCCGGCCACCACCAGCAGGTAAGGGGGGTTAGATGTCGTGCCCAAAAAGTTTCTCCTTTTGTATCCTCTTTGTCCTTCTCTACCTGGCTTTAAGTCTTCATGGGCTTTTCTCATTCTCAGTCATCCCTCCAATATTTCTCCTTCATTTAATCTCTTTTCCTTTTACATATTTATCTTTCCGTCTCATTCTCCACTCCATCCCTGATTTAACTTCCTTTACTGGCCACTCCTCTTTCTTCCTGATGAAGTTAAAAACTCCTGCACTCACAAATTAAGTAAAAGCACACACGAACACATGCACGTCCGTGCATGGGACCCCCCCCCCACACACACACACACACAGATGTATGTTCATAGCCCAGAGGCAGGTCTGTCTGGGTCCAGCTCGCTCTCTGTTTACCGGCACCAAGGAGACTTTAGGAGACAAACACCATCTGTGGAGACATGGAGGACTTTCACTACGATACCAGTGTGTGTGTGTGGGAGAGAGAGAAAGCAAAGTGCACCAGCCCATCAATGCCGCATGATCTACCGTGACACTCAGCGAGCAGCTCAGTGCGTGTAAATGGGAGTTTGTGTAAATGTGTGTAAGGGGAGCAGCTACAGCGGTTTTTTGCCTCCAGCGGCTTCCTTAATGATCAGTCTGGCCATATGGTTCTGCCCTCTTAACACACACACACACACACACACACACACACACACACACACACACACACACACACACACACACACACACACACACACACACACACACACACACACACACACACACACACACACTAGGGAACAGGGTGAATTTGATTCACAGCCTAGGAGAAGACCCAAAATTCAGATTAAGGTCAGATCTCTGCTTCTCATGAGGTGGACTGGAGGGTAAAGTCGTCCCTGAGCGCTGACTGCAGGTCAAAACCCTAAAGGACTAAACTCATCACTGAAGGAAGTTTAATCCCATTTTTAAACTGCGTAAGAATATATGGCATGGGTTCTCACCTCATCTGGTTGAAACAGATCCCCACACGATTACAACCTAAAATGACAAATTTTGTAAATTGTAACTATCTCTTTAGTTTTAACTTTCTACAAGGCGTGTTTGATTAAGTAAACACAATCCTGATGTGCATTATTCAACATAAATGAGGGTATCGACTATTCTGATTATGTTTTAGCTTCACTGGGCAAACAAGCGTCCGCACATGTTGTTTTTGTTTGTTTTCATGTGAGGTCAGCTTACGCAGCACGGGGGACTCTAACCTGCATCAGGGCTCATCTATCTTGCATGAGTCTGCAGCTCTCCACTGGGCTGACTGTTAATCCTAAACTGGCTGTGATTGGATGTCACTCTGTGTTGGCTCTTTGATGGACTTGTGACCACACTTCTTGTTCAATGTCAGCTGAAATAGACTCCGGCTCAACGCGGCCCTGAACAAGATAAAGTGGTTATGACAATAATATGCTTCCTCGTGTCAGACCTGTTAAAGGTCACTGAGAATACCAGAGAAGAGACACACTGATGGGAATACGAGGATGAATATCAATCCAAAACAGAACACATTTTCTCCATTTTTAAAGCAAACTATTCTCCTGAGGCATAATTAGTTTAGTTCCTGTGAAAATACTGTAGGTAGGCCCCATATGGAAAGTATGGGCAAATCACACAGGTCCCAACAGGTTTTGTCCAGTTTCCACGGGTACCCCAAGGGTTTCCCCACAAAAACTTTAACAGACCCATTTGGGTCCCTCTGAAACCCCGTGTACAGCCCGTTAAAAACTTTGTGGGCAAACCCTTGTAACACCACCATGGAAACAGCAGAAAAAAAACCTGTTAGGACCCATAGTGTTTGCTCATGTACAGTGATCCCTCGCTACTTCGCGGTTCGTTTATCGCGGATTCACAACTTCGCGGATTTTTTCTTTGGAGCCTTATTCAAGGGAAATTCGCCGATTTGCGGTATTTTTCACCGATTCGCGGCATTTTTCTATGCGAAATATCAAGAAATTCCTGTTTTTTTTTCATGAATTTCATCATAAAATGCATTTTTTGTAATAAAACTATAGAAAAACCAAGTAAAAATTTTTTTTCATGTGTTTTACCCACAAAAAGAGAATGTGATCATACGATAATTCAATATAGTACTGTACTGTAAATATGGTGTCCCTTCTTCACGGATTTTTACCTATCGTGGCCAGGTCTGGAACGCGTCTACC